AGAGAGACAGTTGTCGAGCTCTAACCAACTGAGCTACAGAGAGACAGTTGTCGAGCTCTAACCAACTGAGCTACAGAGAGACAGTTGTCGAGCTCTAACCAACTGAGCTACAGAGAGACAGTTGTCGAGCTCTAACCAAACTGAGCTACAGAGAGACAGTTGTAGAGCTCTAACCAACTGAGCTACAGAGGCCAGTTGTCGAGCTCCAACCACAAGTTCATGCATAAGTTCATGCATACATACTAAGGTGAAGCCAATGTAAAGTATACGGAAATTTCCATCGACAGAGCTCTTCGACAATTAGTACTATCGAGGGATCAGGATCTCGTTATCCTACCTCATCTTCGTATTCAATATAAGCGTAACCTTTTGACTTGCCAGACCGGTTTGTGACCAGTCGAACTTCTTTCACCTTGCCATGCTGAAAGACATGAACACACTGTTTTTAGCACTGTAACATATATCTTTTTTTCATGGCCGCAGAAGTTAGGGCGCCATTGGGCGACGCTACCTCCATCGGTCTAACTCCAAGTTCAAAACTTCAAAAGTTAGTTGAATTAAGATTTGTATAGGTAATGGCATGGGGCCGAGTGAAATTATAAGGTTTAATTTCACTTGTGTTTTCAAAATTTCACAATTTGTGAATCTTTGAAAACACAAGTGAAATTAAACCTTAATTTTACGAGGAACTATGCGATTACTACAGTACTTGTTAATCATAGAGGGAAAAATTTATTCGTAAGTTAATTGTGAACTTGTCAAGTTCTTGAACTTCGTATATGTCTCCATGTCTTCACCGATGTTCCTTAAATGCTGCTCATTTCTTAATTACTCCAACCTATTGCGTCTCATGCAGCCAGTCAGGTACAAGTAATTCTGCTCTGATTTAATGCCCTCATCATTAACCAATCACATTCGAGTAATTTTGCCCTCTATATGTATGATTTCAGGATGATTGGGCTGGCTAACAACTATGTGCCCGATCCGGATAATTGTATACATCAATTCCCAAGAAGGAATTAAAATTGAATGTTAAATTATCTAAAATGAGCTCAACTCGTCAATCTTCGTCTAAGTGAGACAATAAGAACGTCCATTAAACAAGGCTCAATTAACCACTGAACAGAGAACATTCGTAATCAAAACGTTTTACAAAACAAATAGCTTACAGCAAACTCGCATTGCTTTTAGATTGATTAACTTTGCATAATTAATGTATTTTCAATTCCCAACGGTGGAAGAATTTGATTTCGACCGGCAATTTCTATTTGACGAGTATGTGGCCATTTCTCATCGTTACGATTTAAAAAAGGTATCATAGAAAAGCTAACAGCTCTTTCGTCCTATGTAAAAATTGAATTGTTTAGCAAAGTTTATGATGCAGAACAGCCTGTTGAATTTCCATTGCGTTTTTTTTTAGACACCCTGTATATTCTTGACTTGCAATGATGTGGGCGACGGTCATGTTGGTCCCTTTTCAACAAAAGAATCTCATTAATTTCTTTTGAATTTGGTACCAATATGGCCGCCGTGCCATTGTCTTCTAATTCTCAAGGGATTGATTGCAAGTCAAGAATATACAGTAAGAGGCAGCGCAAGTCAGAGTTTGCTTAGCAAACCTTAGCATAATTATACCACTGCTTTGATAAGATTTTATTCTTGAGATTTTTTTAACAGAAACTTACCACTTTGAATACGTCTTCAATGTCCGCGCTCTTGATCTCGAACGGAAGGTTGGTCACAAAAACTGTGCATTTGTCAAGCGTAGTTGGAAACTTGGAGTAAAATGGGAAACATATATCAGTTAGGATTTTGGGCAACTCACTCGATATAATTCATTTGTAGATGGAAATTTTGAGGGTAATTTTTTAATATTCTACAGTACTTATTAGACCTGATCAGGACCGCAAGTTCGATTCATGCCAGAGGGTCTATGGTCTAATTAACAATTAGCCATTCCAAAGTTGATGAGTGGACTGGGGACGAGTGTTAAAAAGTGCCCAAATTAAGAAATGAACCAAATCACTAAAAAGACCACCTCAAAATTAGTAAGTATACAAAGTTTGAAGATGTTTACATGAATACCGTTCGAATAATAAGCTTTCGAAAATCGCGATATTTACTATGAAATGTACTGTAATTTTTGTTTTTAGGGACGCGCGTCCCAAAAACAGTTTTTTGATCAGTAATTTCACAATTCATTTCGAAAGCTTATTATTGGAAGGATTCATGTAAACGTCTTCAAACTTTGTATACTTACTAATTTTGAGGTGGTCTTTTTAGTGATTTGGTTCATTTCTTAATTTGGGCACTTTTTAACACTCGTCCCCAGTCCTCTCATCAACTTCGAAATGGCTAATTAAATTACGAGCTCGAGGTTTCTATGAGATGATAGTTGCCGGATTGTAAATCTCATAAAGAAAGTATAGCCGGCAGTAAACCTCATAAATAATAAATAATAAAGCTCCGGTGGCCGTTGGCTTGTTTTGAAAGCCCTGGGTAGGTTGGGTTCTTTTTTTTTGTAATTTTTGTCATAAATGCTCATGCATGAGAATGATATTCTATGTCAATTACGGCAGCACAGATGACACAAACATTTGCTCTTCAATTTCCGCCATCTTGGCTACACTTTTTGGAGACTCGAGTTCTCGCTCCAGATTTATACTGTATATATAGAGCTCAGTGATCTTACCTTGAATGTTGTTGGATTGCGAGTTTTATCAACACATCGAGACACGTACATTGGTCTGCCACGCAGCTCCTGTCGATCAATCGCGAGAGCAGCAGAAACGGAACTCTAGAAAATCAATACACGATTTCTGTTTACATCCAGGGAACGGTTATCCACCCACGGTTCTTTTTTCAGCCACGTTCCATGAACGCCGCGGTCAAACGTAAAACGCATGCGCGAGTATACGGAAAAGGCGGGAAAGTGTCTGTCAAAATAATCGGAGTAAATACGGGAAAAGAAAAGCGTTTACTATAAGGAAACGGATGAAGCTATAAGGTAACGAATTTCACAGCTTTTCCCTTTTGTCAAGAAAAAGTTATACTGAGTTTAAACACTCGTAATTTTCTTTAAACTTTTTGCCAGAGCTTCGTGAAGACAATACTATTTCCAGTCTTTTCAATACAAGCAGTGAATACGTGCGGACGTTTGACCGTGGTGTTCGTTCCACGTAGGTACGTGGTACTCTTGCGTACTTAAGCCTTTTGCTGGTACCATATGACTTTTTCAAGCCCAAGGTATTCAAATCCCTAATTAAGTCGGTATATCTCTAAGTCGTAATCTTCAACACATCTGTGAAAACATAAGATTTTTAAAGTTTTATATGATGTAAAATGCGGCCAAAATTAGTTATACTAATTTTCGGTTCCACTGAAATTGGATCACGCAGTTTACATTAGTTTACTCAACATCTGAAACCAAAACAGTACATGGGTGCGCCCGCGCTATTTATTAAGTCAGGAAACTATTCGAACGTTGTGTATATTTTAAATATAGTCCTTTCGTAAATCTAACACAATGAAATATAATTTACCTCAGTTTAATCAGGTAAGTTTAATAAATTATCGTTTTTAAATGTACAAGCATTCTTGTAAAAAGGAAGAGAAGCCCCCCAATAGCCTTCCTGAGGGAAGAAGCCAGTTCCCGTCCCGCCTCTTCTACACCACTGCTTGAATTACTCCACCCTGAACATAAATTTACCTCATTTTTGAACTGAACATAGGCATATCCCCTTGATGTTCCTTGTAGATTTTTAACCAAACGTATTTCTTCAATCTCTCCTAACTTTAGCAAGACCAAGAAATAAAAGGTTTTACTCGTGCGATCGACAGAAAAATTTGCAAACAACAAAATTACTCACAGGTGAAAATGTACTTTTTAGCTGTTCTTCGTCAACTGTGAAAAGTAAATTACTGACAAACACTGTCTGGGGATCTTTGGATCTGAAACAGACAACAAGTTGCGGTGAATAATCTAGGGTTGATTATTATTATTTTATTATTTAACCTTTTATACATCAACAAATAGATATTAAATTTAAGAATATATACATAGATGAAGGGGAAAAGGTTGAAAGTGTATTTAACAGGACAAGAATCCCATATTAAGACCAATCCGAGAAAGACAACAATATTTATAACATATTTAGGGGCACAAACGCACATTAACACACTGATATACTACTGGGTGTCCCCCCCCCCCCAAAAAAAAAACCCAAAAAACTGGACACTTTTTAATTTCATGTAACGTAAAAGTTATAAAAGCTATGGCAATGAAATAAAGATCATTGGATTCAGAAAGGACTAACTTAGACTTTGATGTATGGCACTTGAATTTACATGCAATACTGAGCGAGATACAACCAAAATAGAAATATTTATTATTTAACAAGTATAACTATACATCGGTAATTATAAGGTTGTTTTATGATAATTTTTGACATTTTCAAAAATAGTAGTTCAATGTCCAAACATCAGTAGCGCAGTCAATACTGCATTCGATTCAAATGTTGTATATCAAAATTTAAGTTAGTCCTTTCTGAATGTAATGATCGTCATTTCATTGCGATAGCTTTTACGTGACATGAAATTACATTTTTTGGGGTCACTTGGTATTTGAACAAATATTAACATGAAAAGTGTATGAAATTAACCTTCAAGAGGAAATAGAGATACAATCAATGATATGAATGGGACGAAATTCGGTTGAAAAACGAGTCTCTAAAACGAGAAGTTCCTCACCTGTCGTGAATTTTCTCTGTAGATGTTTCCTTTACATCTTGCTCTTTGGATTTTGTCGACTGCTCCTCCGTCGAAACTATACGCCAAGACGAAATATCGTTCATTAGCATTTGCTCAACTACAGTTTTCTCTTGTTCACAAAGGTGGAAAGCATATTACTTTCTGGGACCGCAAGAGGTTCTTTGAAATATCTTCTGTGAATAATCAAGTAAATCGACACTTGGACACTGTAACTGTGTAACACTAACAAGTTGTCAAATTTGAATGTCATACTATATTCTAACAAAAAATATTTCAGTACACTGTGAATCTTAATAATACTTTAAAGAATATAACATAAAACTATATATACTACTTGGGGAGGGGGAAACCACTAGGGGGTCTGGATGCATGCCCCACCCAAGAAAATTTTGAAAATAAGGTGTCTCCGATTGGCTAAAAATGCATTATTCTATAGTCTAAACATCCACCCCTGCTTGTTCATATGATACGATTTCCCTAGAGGATATAAATAGATTTGTGAATTACCAAAAGGTCGTTTGGGTTCTGGTTCTCCACCCTCTTTGTCTCTTTCATCGTCTTTTTCATGCTGTAAAAGAATTTCGTAAGCTAATAATTTATAATCTAACTTAAAGTGTCTATGACACGATTAAACGCCACACCCTACACGCGTACAAATCTCACATCTTGTAGCAAGTCTGCCATCAAGCCGTCAACAAGTTGTGTTCGCATTGCTTGTCCCAAGTTTGGAACAAGCTGTTAACAATTTGTAACAACCTTGTTGATATTATCAGGCTTGTTACAAGGCTGATCCGACAAGTCCGATACAGTCATGATATAGCAGTATTGTTACAACCTTGTGTCGTCAACCTTGTAACATTCTTGTTTATCAGACTTTTAGAACAACCTTGCGACAAGTCTGATAATGCCATCGAGCTTGTTACAACAACTGGGAACAAGCAGTGCGAAGACAACTTGTCCACAGCTTGTGAACAGATTTGTAACAACTTGTTTGCAGATTGTAACAAGTTGTGCGTTTTTACGTGTGCAGGTCTTTCTTGGGTGTAAACAGGTAGCATTCATCCCAAATGTGACTGGCGCAAAATTAAAATCAGACTATTACAGGAACTCATCAATAAAAGGCGTCTTACTTTTCTTTTAGTTTTTTCCATTTTTGATTTTATTTCTGCCTTCTTCTGAGCACGTTTCTGAGCCTTGTGTTGCTCTTTCTTCGCGTTCGCTTCTTCCTCGGCCAGACGAGCGCTTTCTGCTTTCTCGTATTCCTGATGAAATACAATATGCTTGGTTAGCTTACGCAGAGGGAAAGTAGAATATATATTTGTGTACGTATAGACATAACAAACCCTTGTTTTTTGTTCCAATGCTCGTTTCAACCTTGCAGAACATTTGGTGACCGCTGTATCTAGATCACTCAGAGAACCTGGAAAAATATATTACCATTACCATCATTGTGATTATAATTCTTACCATCATGATTACAACCATTACTACCACTATCATCACACTTATAACCACCATTATTACTATTATCACCACCATCACCATCATTATCGTTAGAGCCACCATTATCACCACCACAATCATCACCACCAACATCATCACTACATCACCACCATCATCATCACCATCCCACACCATCACCACCAGCACACCAGCACACCATCAGCACCAGCAGACCAGCACCACCAGGACACCATCACCACCAGCACCACCAGCACACCATCACCACCAGCACACCATCACCACCAGGAAACCATCAACACCAGGACACCATCACCACCAGCACACCATCACCACCAGGAAACCATCAACACCAGGACACCATCAACACCAGGACACCATCACCACCACCAGGACACCATCACCACCAGCACACCATCACCACCAGCACACCATCACCACCAGCACACCATCACCACCAGCACACCATCACCACCAGGAAACCATCAACACCAGGACACCATCAACACCAGGACACCATCACCACCAGCACCACCAGGACACCATCACCACCAGCACACCATCACCACCAGCACACCATCACCACCAGCACACCATCACCACCAGCACACCATCGACACCAGCACACCATCACCACCAGCACACCATCACCACCAGGACACCATCATCACCAGCACCCCATCATCACCAGCACCCCATCACCACCAGGAAACCATCACCACCAGGACACCATCAACACAAGGACACCATCACCACCAGCACATCATTACCAACAGCACACCATCACCACCAACACACCATCAGCACATCATCATCACAACCACCATCATTACCACCATCATCATCACCATCCCACACCATCACCACCAGCACACCATCACCACCAACATCATCATCATAATCACAACTACCATCATCATCACCACCAGCACACCATCACCCACCACCTCCATCATCACCACCATCATCACCCCCCTTACCACCATCAAAATACCCACCTTCTTCTTTCTCAAACTTCAGGTACAACTCACACAACAATTCTGGATTATCATTTGATGTTTGAATTGCTCGAATAAAAACTTTCCTGCAACCGTTACTGTCGTTTACTTGCCTGAAAGTTAAAAAGAAAATCATTACGTTCTGTCCAAACTGCTCTCCCTTGAGGTCCATGTTCAACAAATGGAGCACAGTTGCCACAAACCTCAACAATCGAATGTATTCCAGCCAAAACTCCGCTTCACGAGTGTGAGATGACATGACTGAATCCCAGATTTTCTTTGCTCCGGTTACATTGTCCAATTTTGTTGCCTGATTGATTAAAAATTACATTTAAAAATTCTGAAGAAGCTGTGGATTGATAGGGATACAACTACCTAAAAAATACAAGGAGAACTTCGACGAGAAGAGCGAAGGTGATTCGTCGGAAATGGGAAAGTTACTAGCCAACTACCAAGTGATCTCGTGTTCGTATTTTAGCCAATCAGCGCTCAGAAAGGGTTGTCCGAATAGAAATCCATTTTGATGTATTCAGTCAATTATATCTTTCGTTATTCTTTATGAAACTAGTTGACATTTTGTAATTATGTTTGCTTATGAGAACTATAGCTCTGACAAAAATATGGAATCGAAATAAAGTATATTACAGGAGATATTCAGTTGTTTTAATCATAAAATGGATTTCTATTTGACAACTAGTGCCAGTACTTTTCCGCGTATCAAGATCACCTGGTACTCGAAGGGTCTTCACTCGAAACGTCGAAGTTCTCCTTGTATTTTTCAGGTAGTTGCACCCCTATCAATCCGAAGCTTTCCTATTACGGAGTTTAAGATCTTGACGACGAACTACCAACTACGTTTGAAATAGTTTTTGTATATGTACAGTATATGCAAATACTAAATGCTTGTCATAACAAATTCATCCCAGATATTTTTTATGTGCATGGTTTTGTGTTCGGTAAGTTTCATCTTCTAATTTTCATAATTTCTTTATAAAAAATACTCTCCAACCTGCAACGTTGCGTAGTCAGTTTCGGTGCTATGTTCTTGTTTTACAACACAAGAATGTGATTCTTACGCTGTAGTCAAGGTCGCTACGGTGAAAAGTATGCTCTGGGGACATGTAAATTTTGTCAGCCTCAGTTAAAGCAATGCGAAAGCGAGCTTCCAACCGTATTCCGTACTCGTTGTTCGTTGTCGGAATCTTAAACTCCCTGTTACTGGCAGACTGGCACTACCTAAAATTCCTACATACATACAAACTAAATCAACAGCCACTTATGCTTAGTGCTTGGCTTACCTCAATATAAGCCTTGTATCTTATTATGAGAGCTTGGGTGTCCGCATTTTTTCCATAATCTATTAAGACACAGATAAATTAAGAAACCCACGATGTTTCATTTGGTACAGTCAAACTGAAAGCATTCTTTTCACATGTGAATGAGACGAAATTACAATCAGATAACTGCAGGTAATACTGTAAACCTCCGAAAATAAGCCTTCAGCTTCTATTTGCTCGTAAGCATTTTTTGATGGACTTAAACATGAGGGAGGGGGGGGGGGTATATATGGGGGAGTTATAAACGGACGACATTTGGTGTTAGTAATAATATTTATTGCACCTGTTGGTTAGAACAAGTTGCTTAACATGTTGTAATACTGTAAATCTGTAATGTAATCATTGTCACTTGTCTGAGCTGTTGGAATCCCCGTCGCTGCGTTAATAAATACCTGTCCAATAATAAGCCCATGGGCTTATACACGTAGTGGTTTATATTCTGTGGGACTTACAGTATATTCGGAATGGCCTGGATGTTAGTATACTGTATATAGTGAATGAATGTGGTGGGCTGATACACGGAAAGGAGGGAGGGGGAGGGCGGGTGCGCTTATATTCGTATGGACATTCATTAACTATTGTGATTCCCATTGTGTAACTAACCATGAATTTTCTGTGTTGGTGTAATGTTCTCAGGTGAATATGATGTTTGTGAATTGTGATGTTACTCTGAGTGTATATCCACACTGGGTAAGCTTTAAAAATATGCCCGGCCACGGTGGGAATCGAACCTACGACCTTTGGCATACTAGCCCAATATATTCCAAAGGTCGTAGGTTCGATTGCAAAGGTCGTAGGTTCGATTCGATTTAACATTATGTACAGTAAATGTTTCTGATGTTACTCTGAGTGTGTATTCGCATCGGGCAAACCGGGCAAGCTGAAAAGTTTGCCTGACCACGGTGGGAATCGAACCCGCGACCTTTGCGATACTAGTCCAATACATACATACTTGTGTCTAAATACTCTGTAGCATCTCCAAAAGCTTTCATCAACTCCTCCCTCTCCTTACTTTCTAAATTAAATATAAATTAATAATTCCAAGTTATTCTAAACTTTGGGCGTTTGCTTTGACGTAAGAAACAAAGACAAAGCTTTTCAAACAAGGTAGCCAGCGTACCAGCCGGTTTTTTGGGTAAGGACTTGCAGGCGGGAGAACGGCGCGCGGGCGGAGAAAAGGGCGGCTGCTACGCAGGCTACAAACAAGGTTTTTCCAGGGTTGAGTCAGTGGCCCTACTACAGGCAAGCGGGAAAATTGTTTAACTACGGTTGGAATCGAACCCGGGAGCTTTGGTTTGCTAGTCCAATGCAACACCGTTCCCAGGCTGGACTGCCTAATTTTTTAAATGTTGTTCGAAATTTCAAACACTAACCTTGTTTCCAGTCCTCGACACGTCTTCTCAGATATTCCAAGAAACAACACCAGAGTGACACTGAATCGTTAGGATTTGACAGGACCGCCGACAGACCTCGCTCAAAAATTTCTAAAAATACAACACACACACACTACTTTCTGATGTACTAAACCTATGGTAAACGTCGTTTTTCTGTTTACATACAGGGGCGGATATATAGGGTGGTGCCAACCTCGTACCCAGGGACTTTCCTCTTGGGGAGCAGACGTACCCTGGTAGACGCTGGTCACGTGATCTGCTAAAATCTAGCAGATTTCTAATTAACTATCTTGGTTTTCTTTACGACAATCATACAAAATGCAAATTATATATTATGATATGTTTATTGAATGTATCAAAATGTCAAATGTTTATTGACCTGATCTTGGATTGCTAATTAAAAATCTGCTAGATTTTAGCAGATCACGTGACCAGCGTCTACCAGGGTCTTTGCTCCCCAAGAGGAAAGACCCTGAGTACGAGGTTGGGGTGGTGCTGGATTTCTCTAGGAGAGTCTAGACGCCACTAGGTGGAATACGCACACCCCTCCCCCGCAGTAAATCCGCCGCAGATAGGTTCACCAAGCACTATCATGCAGTAGATGGTTCAGTCAACTGCTAGTTATCAAGTGAATATTCCTGAATAAAATACCTTGAACTTTTTCATGACCTCTTGCAGTGCGCTCCTGTAGGTGTAAGTAAATATAAAGTGAATAATGCAGATGTTTTACAGCCAACAAGGAACAGTTGCAAAAAATGCAACTACATGCCCGCTGGCAGGAATCGAAGCTGCGGCCTTGCATTTTCCGTAACTGATCTGCTCATCTGGACAAAACCCTGCTAGAATTTCTTATATCGAGTGTACCTTACATTGGCATTGTCTTACCATGGATTGTGAAATAACTGGATAGGAAACTTCCTGACGTCCAGTCTAAACCTAGTTGCAATCTGTGACGTCACGCGTATTGCCAAAGTTCTCAGCATTTTTGTTGTTTCGCTATATTTTCCGCTTTAAAAGAGTAATATTGAAGCATAAACTGGTCTAATTGTTTTATAAACATGCCTAAGCCACGACAAATTAAGTATTCAAGGTAAATGTTTTTCGTCTTTGTTTTGTATTTTTTTACATTTGTAGCTACGGCACTGTTTAGTGCTTGAACTATTTGCTAAAATTGACTGGGAATACATAGAGATTTCATCGTAGAATGGCGTAGCTTTATTTATTTGCTCTTTGACTAAAATGTTTCGCTGTACGTATTATTGCTAAACATGCTGTTTTTGAGAATTTGGTTTGCAACTAGGTTTGAACATCCAACCACGCCATCAGCCCATTGAAAACATTAGGTCACGTCAGCTAGTTTCCTATCCATTTATTTTATTATCCATGGTCTTACACTGGCATCACCTTAGTATATATATATATATATATATACTATTTTGTGTTCAATATATAGACCACAGTAAGAGGAGTAAGACTTTTTTTAAATGCGTTTATTCCATTAACAAACGACGTTTCGGAGATTTACTCCATCTTCAGGAAAACAATTCAAATTGTAATCTTAACTAACAGAAGATGGAGTAAATCTCCGAAATGTCGTTTGACGTTTAAAAAAAGTCTTACTATGGTCTATACAATAAACACAAAATATACTATTAACACGAGGCTTAGGCCTTCTACAATTAGTTATATCGAGTGTAGATGCCTAAACTCCTGATCCTTGCCCATATCTCATACTATATAAATTTACATACCATAGCTTTCATATAATTGCACCACAATGCGACGACCCAAGTGCAATTTCGAACTGCCCGTTCATGTACTGGTAATACCACGTCAGCAATATTAAGTTTTGTATCCTAGAATTGCATGGAAATTAGACCAAAGTTAAATGAAGAATGACTTGTAAAGGATGATGCTATGTTGCTTTGGAAAAAAAAAAAGAAAATTGTCCCCAGAAAAACATACGAGTTTCTAAAGCCTTCATTTTCTTACCATATAATTAGTATATTCCATCCAAAACTCTGAATTAAGACAGTTCTCAACCATTGCTCTCTCGTAGAGACACTGCACTCGAGCCAAGTCATTCTCTTTCATTTCATATGCAATGTACGAGCGATATTCTTCAAGTCTGGGTGACGAAGCCGAGGTCTAAACAATGGAGAATGCTAAATATAATGTTCTATGGAGAAATGGGATGAAATGAGTGCAAATATGAACCTATCAAATGATCAAACTGCATTGTACTTTTTTAAGAGATAGTATGGAATGAGGAGATCAGAAGATGTGAGGTGGCAGACATTTCCGAGAAGGTAAAGGTAGCAAGGTTTGAAATAGCACTGGACTAGAGTGAAGAAGAGCTGGTTAGATATATTATGGAATGAGGAGATCAGAAAATGCGTGGTGGCAGACATTTCAGAGAAGGTGAGGGAAGCAAGGTTTGAGATAGTACTGGACCAGAGTGAAGGAGAGCCGGTAGAAACATTATGGAATGAGGAGATCAGAAGATGTGAGGTGGCAGACATTTCAGAGAAGGTAAAGGTAGCAAGGTTTGAAATAGCACTGGACTAGAGTGAAGAAGAGCTGGTTAGATATATTATGGAATGAGGAGATCAGAAAATGCGAGGTGGCAGACATTTCAGAGAAGGTGAGGGTAGCAAGGTTTGAGACAGTACTGGACCAGAGTGAAGGAGAGCCGGTAGAAACATTATGGAATGAGGAGATCAGAAGATGTGAGGTGGTAGACATTTCAGAGAAGGTAAAGATAGCAAGGTTTGAAATAGTACTGGACTAGAGTGAAGAAGAGCTGGTTAGAAACATTATGGAATGAGGAGATCAGAAGATGCGAGGTGGCAGACATTTCAGAGAAGGTGAGGGTAGCAAGGTTTGAGACACTACTGGACCAGAGTGAAGGAGAGCCGGTAGAAACATTATGGAATGAGGAGATCAGAAGATGTGAGGTGGCAGATAGAGAAGGTGAGTGTAGCAAGGTTTGAGATAGTACTGGACCACAGTGAAGGAGAGCCGGAGACATTATGGAATAAAGAGATCAGAAGATGTGAGGTTGCAGACATTGCAAAGAAGATAAAGGATGCAAAGATTTGAGATGATATGGACACAGAAGAATAAGAAATTAATGAGAGCTAGTCAGAAGACTATATGAAGCTGGAAATAGACGAAAAGAGAGTGAGGAAGACCAAAGAAAACTCAATAAACAGAAAGAAAAATTTCAATATCAAAGAACTGACAGTGAACATGACAGGAGACAGAAAAAAAATGGAGGACAAGAATCAGAGTAGCTGAGCCCGGAATAAAAGCTCTATAACCAAGGTGAAGTACTTACCAAAAGCGTGTATTAGTAACCTAGCGTGTATTAGACCTCAGTAACAACAATCAATTAATCATGCAATCACCTTTGTCCTCAATATCATCCCAATCAATTAACTGAGTGAGCACAGTATTTGTCAGTTAGATATAAAGCTCAATACTTCAAAAAATACAAATGACGTAATTTACCAATGCCTCTTCATATGGTAAACAGTCCTCAAGCTTTGTTTCCGCTCTGGCGAAACCTCTCGTTACATATTCAAGCATTTTCTCGTCCCCAAGCCACTCCTCGTATTCACGAAACACGGCCTGCATTCCTGGTTAAATTGAAGAATTTCAAATTATTTTATGCACTTGGGGCTGTTCATATGAAACTGGGCAGGCCCGGTTAACCGAGATTCGTTCAATAAAGCTCTTATCACGGCTTTGATAAACATTCAAAATGACATTTCAAAATTAAATTATCTTACACACGTAAAATCTCACAACTTGTCAACAAGATGTGTTCGCAACAGGCTTGTAGCAAGCTTATCAACAAGTTGTAACAATGCTGTTATTTTATCAAGTTGCTACAAGGTTGTCACTCACAACTTGTTGACAAATTGTTGAATTGCAGGATGATAACAAGTTGTTGGAACAACTTGCAGTAACAAGTCTGTTGAGCTCAACAACCTTGTAGCAAGTTGTCAAGAAGCCGTTGACAACTTGTCAACAACCTGGAACAAGCAGTGCGAACACATCCTGTTGACAAGTTGTTGGAACAGCAATTGCTATACAAGTCTGCTGCAGATTTGTTACAACTTGTGCGTTTTTACGTGTGTAGTTTGATTCCAGTAATAGTATAAAGCTCATTCAAACAATCTCTTAATTTCAGAATAGCTAGCTGGGCTGGTCCGGTTCATATAAACAACCCCCTAAAATTCCCAATCTTATTTAAGCGTGTTTTAGTATGTATATATGTACGAATGTACATGTATTGTTGACTTAAAACATTGAAAATATTTGTACAAATTAATAAAGTTATTTACCAATTAAGGGCACGGAGATTTCTCTTCTAAAAATGGTTTTGACCACATCTTTTTGTTGTTCCCTAAAAAAATCAATCCTACGATAAAATGGTTTGCGGTGGAGCTACTGTATACAGTACCTAAAAAAGTTCCGATTAAAGTTTATTCTGCTGCAAAAGTCTTCTTGTTAGTCACAAAATAAACACCTTTGACCACAAAATATTTGATAGGGCCATGTTACATAAGGGAGGAGGGGGTGTTTCCAATTCTTTGTTACAATCTGGCTGACTTTTAAGTAGAATTCCTTGACTTTTAAGGCCAATCTGCGCAACTGCAGGCAAAAACTAAATGTTGTTGGGTACACTAGTGGCATGAGACTTACAATTTTTGCTGAACTTGTGGCGAGTCTGAACCTTCAGCCATTGTCTATAGTAAGAGAGAAAAACACCTGCTTGTGTGTACGGCCTTGCTTTGATGCATTTAGCAAATTCCTGTTTAATCCACAATTCTAGTTTACATTATTAGAAATAAAACATCATTACACGTTGCTAAGACAGTAACACCCAAATTGGTCGATAATTCACTTATTCACATTCACTTATGTACCGGAGGTACGCCAATATTACGGTCCGTTATCTTTGTTGTCTTCAGACATGTACCATGTGCAGTAGGTACGCAGTCAGTACCGTCGCTATCTGCGTACTTGCATTTTGTTAGAAAACCACACAACAGTGTGGTAGTTGTCAGAGCATTGAGCTAGTATTCCGAAGGTCGTAGGTTCGATTCCCACCGTGGCCAGGCATATTTTTCAAGCCTGCCCGGTGTGGATATACACTCAGAGTAACATCACACAAACATCTTATTCACCTGAGTATACATTACACCAACACAGCAAATATCAAACCACACAACATTTCCATTCGCAAAGAATTCAAAACCGTACTGTAAAGCTCAGGCCATACCTGATACGAGTCGTATAATGTCATTTCAAATTCTCGATATCCATCCCAAACTGACACACCCTATAGATTTAGAATATTTTATCAAGCTGTCCAAAATTACTTGCGGCAGAAACCAAATTGGGTAACCTGGGTTTACCAATTGACAAAAACTTGTCAGAAGAACTTACAATTTAATATTTTATATGTCCAAATGAATTGTAAAGTAACCTAATTCGATCACAGAACGCGTAAGGAAAATTTAAATATTAACTGTTAACAAAGTTATTAATTATAGAATTAAGAGATTACGGACTTACATGACTTTGGGGAAACCAAATTAGGTTACAGCAAAACAAAGTTTGCGGTAACACGGCGGTGACCCAGGTTTGGTTACCGTAATTTAGGACAGCCTGTAAATGATTTTTCTTCTACAGGAACTACAGTGCTGGAAAATATCCTGCAAAACCAGCAGCACCGCCGCCAAGATATTTTGAACAAAATATCCTCACAGGAAATTCTTGTCATCTTATATACTAGAATGCCATATAATTTACTTATTGTTTAAAATTCAAAAATTGTTTTGCATGTCGAGATTGTCTTGTGCCAAGTTTGAATGTGCGGCAGCATACATTCTCTGAACCCCATACAATTACATGCAATCCTGGGCAAAAAACACTCGGACACTGTTTCTTTACGGCTGATGATTACATATCATGGACGCTTTCATCTATAAAATGGTTGCATCCCCCCTGGTACAATGTTGCTGTCTCAAATGTCAACAAGGTTATACAATAGTCATGCCTGAGAGTGTTCACCAACATTGTACCAGGTGAGGACGGATTTTCGGAGGATATTTTAGAGATTGTACAACACTCTTTGTACATATTGAATGTGTTCGTCCGAGTGATTTTGTCCATGATTGTAGGAAAGTTATATTTTTGGATTTTGCTGCCAAGAAAAGATATATATTCTAGGCCTGAGTAATACTGTCCATATTATCAAAACAAATCTGATCATGGTGTTTACAGCAAACCTCAGTCAAGTGAAGTCCAACAGAAGTGATGGCTCTCTCGAAAACATCCCTTGCATCTTTTAATCCATCTTCGCCTTCCATATTATCCAGGACATATTGACAATACTCTGTCCATAATTTGACAGCTGAAACAGATGGTTTTATTGGTGGTTTTACTGTGTTATTTTACTAAGCTTTCTTGTGGGGCTTTGGAGGTGCAGTCACGATCAGAACAAGTGCCTTTCACCCCTGAGATTGAGGGTTTGATTCTCGCTACTGACTGATGTGAAAAGAGTCTACACAGTATGATCAACACTCTGCTGAAAGTTGTGGGTTTTCTCCGGGTGCTTTGGTTCCTCCCACAGGGAAGGTTGACAGGATGGGCTAGGATAAACAGTTAGGAAACTAATATCACAATTGTTGCAGATTGAGATATAAATATTGTAGTCTAGGCAAAGTAGGTACGGTAATATAAGACAGCTGAATATCCTATTGATTAGTATTCTGTTTCTGGTCAGCACTGACCAGAAACAGAATACTTTTTGCCTTAGTTTAGATTAAGATTAGGGTTTACATACATTGGTAGTCTTTAACAGCTTTCTCAAACAAATCACGAATGTAAGCTTTCTGTTCGGTAATACAGGCTAATGGCATCTCATCTTGAATCCACTCTAACCACAATTCTACAGAAAATAGATTTTCATAACATTAGGGGAAGATACATCCATCCATCCAGGTTCATTTCGCTAGACATGGCGTCATTAGTTTAGCATATTAAATTAGGTTAAATATTTGGTGACAAAATACAGATTACTGATAGGGTAGGTATTAAATAATGTACCTGCTGTTAGAGGGAACATCTTGCTCATAGTTTCTCTTGCCTGTCTCGTTTTATCCAAGTCACCAATGTCACGTAATGCTTGAATCAATTTAAGGTGACTTTCATAATGGAATGGAGAGCTTTCCAACTGTAATCATAACAAAGATTAACGTTTTTAAGTGGCAATGGACCCAGATGTGCCCTACTTTGTTATTTTACTCTATCTAAAGCCAGACGATTTTACTCATTAGGGGGAGAGTGTTGCCACTCAATGGGTTAATCTACTGTTTATCTAGCTTAGGGGGTTACTAAAATGTGACATTTTGGATAAGGCGAACCCGCTTCTGCACGACCTGCGCACTGGTAACAGTAAAGTGCTAAATCTTGTAGAAACAGGCCGTCAGCAGGGCCGGATTTGTTGACAATCTTGTAGCAAATTTTTATTGTAGGCCACAAAATCCATAGAAACACAAATAATTCAACACCAAAGTAGAATATATCCATGCTGTGGGCAACAAAATGTAGAGGCTGGTCACTCAACTTGTGCAATAACTGCAATTTTACTCTCGATTTCAATTTGCTTTTCAAAACTGACTTCCAATGTTTACTTGTAAATTCGGGAATGTTCGTTGTAAAGTTCCGAAGTTTGTTTCGAAGTTCGTTACGATGATTTACGATGATTCAATAGCAAGCGATTTGATTGGCTGGTTCACTTAAGCCAATTACAACTTACTAAACTTGATTATCATCGGAACGAACTTCGAAACAAACTTCGGAACTTTACAACGAACATTCCGAATTTACAAGTAAACATTGGAAGTCACTTTTGAAAAGCAAATTGAAATCGAGAGTAAGTCTTCACTGTACTGGCCTTCGATAGCTGGCCCTGCTTATAAATTCAACAGCTGCCCCACACAAGAAAAAATATTAAAATTTCAATTAATGGGTTTTTGAATTGTTTTTAAAGATTTACCATTGTATACTGTGCAGTCATTGTAAAAACCATTATTAAAATTATAGATTTCAAGTTGAAGGGCATTGTAGATGGAGATTATCGAGTGTAAACTTTATACATTTATTAGATCTAACCAGGAACAGATTCTGAAGCGAAAAATGTAACTTTAGATCCCTGGCAGGAATTGACCCTGCGGCCCTTGCAATATGTTTCATAGATTTCCATCAAGCCTGGCCGTTTAAGGCATGCGCACGCGCGCCTTGATTCCTGGAGATGCGCCTTTTAATATTGACGACAGTGGCGTAACTACCATGGGCTCAGACCGGGAGAACCCGGGGGCCCCCAACCTAAATGGGGGCCCCCAGGCTTAGGCGATAGAGCAAAAACATTGGTCAGGGCCTCTGATATGTTACAATGTCGTTTTATTACCATCAGAATTCCGTAAAATCTCTCCCCAAAGTCCAGGAAATAGCATTTCAGAGAGTCCAGATTCAAAAATTTTCCAGCTGAGCATGCTCTGGACCCCCTAGAAAACTTCTGTATATATGGCGCTCGACTCGTGCCTTTGGCACTTCTACTAGGGGGGCCTTCGAAAATTTTGAACCGGGGGCCCCCTGATATAACGTTACGCCACTGATTGACGACAACCATGAAATAACCATTGACGATAACGATGATTCGTCAAGCTAGTTGAAAAGCAAGTCAGAGGACAGCGATGTTGGGATTTTCATTGATGTTTAAAGTACAATGACTTTGTAAATATTGTAAACACACGTACTCACTGGTACAAACATTTTATATAGTACCTGAGTAAAAATTTATGTAGAACAAAACAATTTTAACATTGGAGTTTAGACGAAATTAGTATAGACTAATTTCGTCTAAACTCCAATGTTAAAATTGTTTTGTTCTACATAAATTTTTACTCAGTTTTGTGAATGTTATTCTAGTCTGTATAGCCAATAAGCGTAATTTCTACCGTTTTTTAATCGCACGCCTGACGTATATATCATGCACCTGCCCAAATACTTTATACGGCCATCATGGTTTTTACTAATTTACTATATGGGAAATCTATAACTGTAAATGCATAATCAATAATGGAAAGAGTTCAGTTTTTACATTCAAAATCCCATCAATGGAAATTTAATTTTTTTCCGCTCGCAAAACGAGAATTTCAAATATTCATGAAAACCATATTGCTCATCCCATGTGTCTACATAAAGAAAATTTTAATGCTCACACCGAAATATGTGAAACACTGAAATAGTGAAATGTCTATCAGTCTATATAAAATCATTAAAATGTTTACTATATTAATTTCAGTCTATTTGCATGCTTTATAATAGTAACTGGAAATGTTTTTATTAAACCACTTTAAAATTATTTAAACATTCAGATTTTATTATATTATACACAAATACGAAATATATGAAGGTGAATTATTAACACGTGGGTCAAACTTCAAAGTATTGTCATCGAGTCATTCGATTATATTCCCACTTACAAATTGCCGCAGAGCTGTTACTTCGGCACTTTCTGCTTCTTCGCTGTCACTGGAATCATCCGAATCATCTAAATTTTCATCCATTTTCTCTTCCTGGTCACTTTCAGCGACATTAGTGTTTGAACTACACTCTTTTTGTTGTTCGTTTGTGGAAAAATCCATTTCGTCGTCCGCCATATTGAATGTGGGGGAAAACTGCCTCACCACAACCCCCACGAGTACTAAAAAACAAACTTTAAAATTCAGTCAAATTTCGATTTGTTGTGCGTTTTATATCATTTCTATGGTAAAAATGTGCAGATAAAATGTTTGCATGATAAATTCGTTATTTATAAAACATTAATAGCCTTAGTTAGGTTACAAAACACTAAAAAACATTCATAATCACAAGCGATTGGCAACCATGCCTACCCTCCTAAGTGCCATTCCATTGCCATGGCAGTATTCTTTCCCGCGTGTTTATTTCATTTTTCAAAGAAAAACAAAGTTATGGCGGAAAATAATGGACGAAGCACAACAACCTGATTTAAAACGCTCAAAAAACGAAGGCGACGAAGCGATAGCTCATAGTCTTGCCGCAGCATTATGCGGAGACGATGTGGAGAAATTTCTACAGCTTTATGACGAAATCCCGGAGGGTGTTTCACTTGAAAGGGTGAGCAATATCATTTTCGCGAATATTTGCAATTCCCGTTTTGCGAGCTTTTCCCTGAGGCAGCGGTTGAATTTATAAGCAGGGCCAGAAGGCCAGTATAGCAGTGAAGAGTTAAAATTGCAGTTATTGCACAAGCTGGCTGAGCGTCGTGAGCGACCGGCTTTTACGTTTTATTTGACCGCAGCGCGGATTTAATTTCGCTTCGGTGTTGAATTACAGGCCCACTTTTTGCGTTTCTATGGATTTGTAATCTGCGATAAAAATTTGCTACGAGATTGTCAACAAATCTGGCCGTGTTGTCGGCCCGTCTCTACAAGATCTAGCAATTTACTGGTACCAGATTAGCGAAAGATAACTGCATAAAAAAAATCGAGAGAATTTTCGCCTTATGGTTTTCATTCTATACAGGTAAAATTAATTTACTTTTTACGGAGGCGTATCTATCATGTTACTGCAGAAAAAATTCAGAACTTTCTAGGGGTAAATTCATTGGCTAGAAGCCCAGCTAGCCGTCTGACTCTTGTCGGGGGAGCAGAAGCGTAGTGATTTTATCAAAAGTACACGTAAATTTCGTATTTATTATTTATGACATGCAATTGATCGTCGTAAACGGTTTTGAGAAGACCTAAAATTTGTAGCAGCCAATATGAAAGTGAACAAGATACGACCCGACTATTGCTGTTCGCTTTGATTTTAAAACGACCAAAATACTGCTGTGAAGTGTTCAAATAAAAGTCATATATGGCATCCGAAGAAGACAGTTTATTTCAAAATCAACGCCGTACTTCGTGGGTTTGTACAATACAACAGTTTGTTTGTAAATTTGATCTCATATTCTTGTGAACGTAATTTGTATTTGTTATGAATAGGCTTACGCAATAATTCGATGTACATTTCAGAAATGTACATTTCAATTCCTTAGGGGACAATTAAAGAATACCTTTCGCTATTTTCCCGCTACAAATGAATGTGCTGTGTTTAGTTTGTTTTGTTTACAGTTACAGTAAATTTTTGACAGCTTTAAGAAAATATTGCGCTTTATCGCTGAAAAGCTTTCCCAACATCTGGCTATAAGTGTATTTTTAGTCTTTTGTCATCTATATGAGTTCAAACTAGCATAACACAAAACGTTTTGTAAAAAGTTGTTTTATCAAAAATTTTCCAGTTTATATGTTTGTATGTAGCAGGTTTTTGTTGAAAAAAAATTATATACTTGAAAAAAAAACACAAAATCTTGTATACTATAAATATACAATGCAGTGTTGTTAAAATTTCATTCTTAAATTCAAAAATGTTATTAAATACACAAGACCCCCCAACGGTGCTAGACAATTATCAGACTATATTTAAACGTTTTTGCTTTACAATTTACAGCCGGCCAAAAAGCCCTGTTCACAATCTTTTATACAATTTGTAACTCTAATATCAAAGTCTTTATGTCTTGTCGAGTAACACAGCAACATATTAGCATATCTGTGTGTCACAATGAGCTATTATATAAGTACGTTTTAATTGTTATGTAATAATATGGCATGGTTTTAAGATGTTACTTCAACCGAGATATGTTTAGCTTTTAAAGCAGCAAAGTTTTAAAAAAGTGTATGGGTATTGTATATGTCCATGCAAGTGTGTACTAGGTAAGGTTTAGTATACAAATATATTACAGCCTGGATATGTTATGTAATAATAAGTAATATTGGTTTGCAAATATTAGTCAAGTTATGAGGGGATTAAAGTCCTGGTTGTAGTAGTCACAAACATGTCATGGTGGCCAGTGTTATAGAATCAAGTGGGGGTATTGTATCACAGACTCCTAACAAACAATCTAGCAGTTTCCAAAAGTTTCTATGTTTCTTTTGGCCATTTTGTAGTGTTTTTTGTCTTCATGGCACTGTCACAATATTACGGTTTTCATTTTGCACTATTATTCTTTCAAAAGCCTCTGATGTTACCATGAGGCTTAACCCATTGAGCCACAATGCGTCCAAGTGCCCCCTACTCATTTTTTTACTTGTCTAATGCCAGACGATTTTACTTGTCAATGGGGAAGCTCTGCAGCTTAAATTAATGGGTTACCAAAAAAATCTGACAATGTTTCTAGTTAACCGATTGAGCCGCAATGCGACCCAGTGTGCCCTACTTTTTTTTTACTTGTCTAACGCCAGATGATTTTACTGGTCAATGGGGAAGCTCTGCAGCTTAATGGGTTAACCCATTAAGGCAGATTTATGTTACACAACAATTACCTAAAACTGTCGAATGTGACAACTTACAACTTACTTGAGTTGTACTGTGTAAATCAAGCACACAACTCGCCTATGTTGTCATATGTAAGTTGTGTGCTTGATTTGCACAGTACAACACAAGTTGTAAGCATGTTACATGCAACAGTTTTAGGCAAATGTTGTGCGTGCTGTAAATCGGCCATTGTATTTTATGCCCTACTTTATTATTTTGCCCTATCTAACACATAAGACGTTTGTCACGTTTTTACTTGTCAAGGGGAGAGTGCTGGTGCTCAATGATCGGTTAATTGTACTTTCTGCCCCTGTGTCCAGTTAACCCATTAAGTTGCATTGCATCCAAATGTGCCACTCTTTATTATTTTATTCTGTCTAAAGCTGATTTTCCACCAGGCGGAATTTGCACATGGAGCAGAATTTTCAAAGACAATGAAAAATTGCACTCTGTGTGCATAATTCCGCCTTGTGGAAAACCGGTTTAACACCAGACAATGTTATTCATCAAGGGGAGAATGCTGCCACTCAATGGGTCAATGAAACAGTTCAGTCTTTAGTAATATTTTTCTCCAATTTTTTCAGCTTGGCAATATAAAAGAAATGGCTCGGCAACTAGCTGCTCTAGCAAGTTACCCCAGTTATCGTTACAGCCAAACTCCAGTTAAAGACTCCACTCATTTTGGAATCAACCACACACTCCAGACGACACCCTTGAAGCTGAATGGTGAGCTCAATATACCCGACCTCAGCGTGTTTAAAACCCCACCAGAGGGGCCCACCCCAGTTGATCAGAAACAATTTGTTTACGATGAGGAGACACTGAAAACACTGTCATTTTACAACAAACAGTTAAATGATTCTGGTATCACCCAGCAGGAATATTTGGATATACTAGATGACGATGCCAAACAATGTTCAAAGAATAACGAGGCTGAAGCATTTAGGTCTAACGATGATGATGCTGTTGAGTTCTACACACCACCAGATACCCAAGGTAGCTGGCACATGATGCATAGAATTCACCGACTATAATTAACTATGTCTGTTAAATTAAATTAAAGTTAGTTTTCATAACTTTGACCAAACATGTGACCAACCAATTTAGGCTGGTCAAATGTCCAATGAAGTCAAAGGCAAAGCTATAAAAACAACATCAAGTATCAGTTAAATTTTCACCAGTACTAATCTGTAATGTTGTCTTCACAGCTGCCTGTGAAGTTGAATTATTTACACTTTTCTGATATTCACACCAGATCTTGCTGCATTAAGTTATTTGCATTACAATAGGCAATTCCAGCTTTTAGTTTATGCGTGCAGGGAATGATGGGAAGTAAGGTATCACATTGGTGATTATGTTGAAAAAATAAAAATGGTGGCCGTGTAAACACGGAGTGATAGCTTATCAGACCTCTCAACTCTCACGCATTCGGCGTGAGTCTCACGCAATTCGCTTCACTCTCACGCCACGTTTAGTAAATCTCACGCATATAGCAGTTTTATAGTATTTTTTCAATAATATAATATTGTATTCTTAAATGCACATTATTAATCATTATTCGGATCGCAAATCGAATATATAATCGCGTGTTATTCATGTTCTTGCATATACGGCCAGACATTTTGCCCGCAATTTGGATACAAAATAGTACGCATATGTAAATACGGCGGACAAAAGGCAGAATCAGTCGGGGCAGAATTCTATATGTAAATTATCAAAGGCAAATTAAAGCTCATTAATACTGTATGTCGCAGAAATACAGTTATTGTACTGTAACTAAAGTGCCTTGTCTTAAAGGACGTTATGACTTTAAAGGTGATCTACAGTCCGATCTGCGCATGTGCACAAATGAGCCCACTTTTTATGATACAAACAGTTTAACTATGTTTTGAGTTCTTGAAAAGCCTGATTGTTGTTTCTTGATCATTTATTATACTCTAGAAGCTTGAAAATATAAATAGTTGTCGAATAAAGCTCAATATTTTGGACACAAAAATGTAAACAAAGGCTTTGTTTACATACGGACTGTAGATCACCTTTAATATGAAGCAATGTATTTCATTAAAAAACACCAACTCTCATAATGTACGAAATGCCATTTCAGACCCCCGGACGTTTACAAAGGTGTCATCCACATCCCCAATCTCACTCTTAACTTCTCTGCAAAGTTGAGAGGTCTGGCTTATACTTGTAAATATTGAAATATTTCGGTTGCTTCGGCAGTTTTTATTGAAATTTTCAGCATAATCAGCAATCCAGATGATCTTGATACGCGGAAAAGTACTGGCACTAGTTGTCAAATAGAAATCCATTTTATGATTAAAACAACTGAATATCTCCAGTAATATACTTTATTTCGATTCCATATTTTTGTCAGAGCTATAGTTCTCATAACCAAACATAATTACAAAATTTCAACTAGTTTCATAAAGAATAACGAAAGATATAATTGACTGAATACATCAAAATGGATTTCTATTTGGACAACCCTTTCTGAGCGCTGATTGGCTAAAATACGAACACGAGATCACCTGGATATGATACCTTACTTCCCATCATCCCCTGCACGCATAAACTAAAAGCTGGAATTGCCAATTGCCTTTGTATATCGTGGTAAAAAATACAGTTATGAATAAGCTAAACCATAATTCACTGATGCATTAGGAATTATGGAGTCTGGAGATATATTAACTCAGTTTTACATGATTCGCAGTGCAGATCAACATGACCATGCAGCCGAAATACATCGTGCTAATTTTGAAAAAAAAATTAAATTTTACTTTGTCCATTGTCAAGGAAACCCAACCACATTTTGTCTTGGCCATGCAGACGTTCGTCCTTTCAAGGAAAATAATTATTTACAGGCCTGGTTGTTATGTTTCTAAAGCTTAGTTTACACGATCAAAGTTTCTGTGATCACGGTACAAATTTTGCATCGGTAAATTTTAAGTTTTGAAGGATCTGTAAGAAATGTTTGAGGAAACTGCCAGTTTGCTCAAACTTTCCTTACAAATTCTCCAAACTTAGAATTTACCGATGCAAAATACCTACCGTGATCACAGAAACTTTGATAGTTAAATCAGGCTTAAGGTGCAATTAGTTTTTATTCTTCCTAGATGAAAATATTGAAGATCCGCCATTTGGATACCCGCCGTCTTCGGACAAACTCATAAATTCCGTCATCACCTTACTATCAAAAACCGCAACAGTTGATACCTCTGAAGTTTGTGAAGAAAATTGTTTGCAAGAAAGCGAGAATATACAAAATGAAAACGAGCTAGGCAAAGAAGATGGTGAATTTTTCGAGGCTTACGAAGTTGAAGACAGCGAAGGCCGGGAAAACGATGTTAGGAGTAGTTTGGAAAAGAACGGCTCGACCTTGGAGCGAGATTCTGCAGAAAAGGACAGTTTAGACGGCTCTCCGCATAGCCGTAGAAGCTTCACACAAGAGGAAGACGATTCGGGAATCTCCACTGTAGACGAAAATGACATTGTACAAGAAGCAACTATGACAAACGGTGGCCATTTTGAGGCGAAAAAAGAGCAGATTGAGAACAAGACCGAAGGGAGTTTTGTCGAAATGAACCATTCAGGCAATAGCCCTACACAGAGGGCAAGTGCTAAAAAGAAAACATGTAATTCTGAGCCTGAATTAAAGCGGTTTACAAACGAATCTGACATAAAGTACACCCAGTCAAACGAGTCTGAAATGAAGTACACAAAATCGAACTGTTATGAAAGTGAAGAAACCTCGATAGGTTGGCAAACCCGACACAAGCGTATGAGCAAAAGACGGTACGATAGAGAATCTGAGAGAATGGGTTATTACAATGATACCACAGAGAACCATAGATCAAACCACAAGGAATCGACGCCTAGACGGTCTGCGTCGAAAAACAAAGATAGAAATCAAGGGAAACTAGACAGAAGTGAAACCTACAGTAAGGTCGCCGACAGACACGTGGAAGAACGATCCAAAGAGAAGAACGCTTGGGGTAACAGACGGGGTGAAGACAGCGAAATACACGAGAGCCCCAAGCGCTCCAGTCGTCGTGGAGGGCAGGCTGGCAAGAAGTCGGACAGTAAATATACAAGGAATGGGAATAAGGAGAAATATAGTGATTTGGAGAAACATGAAAATCAAGTTCAGAATACAAAACCTCAACTTCAAGCAAGTGTTTTCTCGTATAGAGACGCACTTCTTAAAGCTGGTTCTGCGGGTAAGTCAAGACAGTATATATACAGTAGAATCTTGCTAACTCGAACTAAATCCAATTCTCCCTGGATTTCACCCAATTTTTGCAGTAATTTACTCCGCTTAACTCGAACTCCTAGCTCACTCGAACAAATTTCATTTTCCCTCAGCACTGCTCAAATTTACCCGCCTATCTCGAACTGTATTTTTGAGGATGGCAAACCTCAAAATGTCAGAACATGGCACGTTGACAAGTCGGAAAGCTGGGATTTCCATTCAGATGGAATATATACAAACGTTCAACAAGTTGCAAGGTTCAACAAGTTGCATCGATCATTATTGCTCTAGCTATAGGTACTGTACTGTTAAACACTGTGATAGGTACTGTTTAACTGTCATTGTTACAATTGAACAATGCTGTAACAACATTGACATTGTTGACAACTTGTTCTTAGGATGCAGCACAACCGTGATCAAGCCTGTCGGTACTAGCTGGGAACAGGTTGTTCGTTTTTACGCGTGTAGCCGAGACTATTTATCTTTACAACTATTGTGGTACTGTCAACTTTCCCTGTGGGAGGAAACCGGAGCAAACCCGGGGAAACCCCACGACTTTCGGCAGAGCGTTGACTGACTCTTTTCACATGAGCACATAATCCTCGTAAGCACATTATCGCTGATCTTAGCAATGAAAAGCTAAGTCGGCACCTAAGACTAAGCCAGTTTAAATAGTCTTGCTATATGGCTTGCCGTGCTTTTCAGCGATCAAGCCTCAAGGATGCAATTCTCTTGTCGACCACGTTTGCAGTGGCACCCACACCACCCGCTGTCGAGAAGACGAGCGGAGAAAATGACCCGTGTTCTACTTCTCTAATTCTTTCGTCGTATGCTCTTCTTTTCTCTAGTTCATTTCTATACGATAGCATTGAGAGGAGGTGTAGCTTGGGCATTGTGGGAACGTATAGTTTAAAACGCAACAAATCGTACTGCTGCCGCAACTTTATAGCAGTCGAACCGTCGTGTAAACGCGAGTGCTAACAAATCTGTTATATGTTCCATATTTCAGTTCCAAGTACCAAGGAGCAAATACCAAGTCAAGTATCCTCTAAGGCAGACAGGATGTTTAATGTAGAATCCGCAGTTAATTATTTATCTACAGGTATGTAGAGTTTCAGGCCCATAGAAAACATCTGACAATCTCGATGTTTTCTCAAATGTATCAATTATCGTGTTTTCCCACTCTTGAACCTGTGTGTGTATTAAATAATACGAGTCGACTTGTAGCAAGTCTAGCCAACAAGATGTGTTCGCACTGCTTGTCCCCAGTTGTTGACAAGTCTAGAACAGGTTGTTATCATCTTGTAATAACAAGGTTGACGAGGCCAATAGACTCGCAACAAAGTTGTTCCAACAAGTCTGATATCGTCTGCACGTAACAAGTTGATGACAACAAGCTCGTAGCGACTTGTTACGAACAGCCTGTATATTATTCTTGACAAATCTTGTTGGAACAACTTAACTTGTAGTAAGTCCGTTACCGTCATCAACTTCGTAACAAGGTGATAACAACTTGTTGCAGACTTGTCACAACAACTGGGAACAAGCTGTGCGAACACATCCTGATATCGGCTTGACAACAACCTTGTTACAACTTGTCTGAAGATCTTTAACCACTTGGGCGTTTTTACGTGTGTAGCCAATATTTGTCCTACCTATGCAATTTACCTGACTTGCATGCTTACCTTGTGCAGATGTATGATGTAATCGGTCACTGAAAAGTCCCAATGGGGAGTGAGCTGGGTAATAATGTAATTGACAATGGGACACTACAGCACTGTATACTTTACAAATTAATTTTTGTTTTCTTTCATTTATTTCTTAGTATGGATGAGTGTGAATAATTTACACAGAAAAGGTGAGTATATATATATAGCTAATGAAGGATTTTGTAGATGGAAACTTGTTAATAAATATGGAAATATTTCTTCAGAAATCTTGTCTGGATCAGTAGGAATTTTCTTTTCTGAAGTTTTGAAATAAACCAGGGATGGGTTTACTGGGGGTGGCCCTGGCCAGAGGTGGTGCAGGGGGGTGCTATTTTTCATGATAAAGCAAAAAATTATTAGAGACAAAATGAGATATAGTAATTTGAGTAATAACATGATGATAAGCGAACTGTGAACAACAATTACAATTCAAATACAGTAGTCAAATAAGACTTTGCAGTAGTGAAACAAGTTGATGGGCGGGCGGCTCACATGACCGACATAACGCGGCACCAGAGCTGGCAGAGCACTCCCCCCCTACCAAAACAACAATAACTTTCATCATTTGAATACTTTAAAAATGTATTTGGAATAGGATTAACTTACTATTTAAGTTCCCTGCTTAAGAAATAGGAAATATACGAATCTTCTCTCATTTCATGGGAACGACCTGAGACTGCAATCGCGGCTTCAATTTTTGAATTGCAGAATAATTAGATGAACTATCTAGTGTATATAAGATATCTATGGTCTATCCCTATAATGCAGATCTCATTTCTCTTCCAGACCCTTCCAAAGTATATATCTACAATGGTGATCAAATGTGACCAAACCAAATGAACAATGATACTCCATGAAATATGTGTGAAAAAGCAAAGATTAAATTATTCTGAACTAAACATAAATGTATAAAAAATTATAGAAATCATTGTACTAATTTAAAGCTATATCAAGAGAGGAAAGTACGGCAGTATAACCGGAAGTTTGGCCTTCTTAAATATTAGGCGAATCAATTTGGTTGTTTGACGAGATTTTGTCCCACAATCGAAAATTGAAGAAATTTCTTGGTAAAGACCAAATTGAACTAAAAAATTGAATCCAAGTTATTTTTGTTAGAATAGACTTGTTTGACATCAAAATTACCTATAAATTTAGTTAACTTCTATATTATGAAATAGGCGTTGCCAATTTAGGAAAAAAGATCGGGTGAAAAAGTAATTAGGTATGTTTCACTAAGCACTATCGTGCAGCAAACGGTGGCTAATTTATCAGAGTGAGAAAATAATGTTAATTTGTCTCATAGTTGTTGACACAAAAAAGGCCAGTAAATTGAATTGCGAGGTGTTTAGTTTAAATTTCATGTTTCTGTATAACTGTCATGCCAGTGCTCGTACCGAAAGACTAAAGTCATCTAAGCCTATTTTTCTGAATTGAATTGGCAATGTTTAAATATTTTGCTTCAAGTCTGAGCTTATAGTAGTAGACTGTAGAGTAGCCTTTGAGGCCTTAAGACATTATGTGCTTAATTTGTCTAGCTTAAAAATGAGTGAATGAATTTAATGCTATTTAATTATTGTATCTTGCAGATTACAAATATTAATATAAATTATATAGATAAATTTTATCTATTTTTCGAAAAAACACTGTGGATATTTTATGGATACATTATGTATTGTTGTGTGCACCCATCACCCCCCTCCCCCAAAGAAAATTTGTTCATATTACAAAACAACACAGAAAATTTCGAGGCAAAAAGAAAACTAGAATTATAGACTATATTTTTCATCTACTGCATGTACTGTACATGATCTGAAAGCTATAAAGTTAAGAGCTAAACTTTACAACTAATTTTTTGTATGCTTTTGTTCACTTCAAAAACTTCACTACAACCTTAGTGTTTCAAATACTAAGTTCTTGTTTAAAATAAGTATAAAACTAACCAATATAAAAGAGTGAAAGTTCTAAAAGAGTTCAATGTGTTTACCCAGAGGCTAATTGTTCAAAGCTGGATTAGCTTAACCCTAGGTTTAACCTAAAGTTCAAAGCAAACTTTCTGGATCAGCAGAAGTTTTCTCTGACGTTTTGAAATAAACAGACATGCAGACATACATAGTGCTAATCCAGCTTTGAACAACCAGCCCCAGAAGTACATAGAGATGTACCTCTAAAAGACAGTTTAATTTAATTAAAATGTCTGTCAATCTAATACTGTAGAGATGTCTGCTGGTGTAGGTCAGGCTCCAAATGATGGCATATCATTTGGTCACTTCAATAATCAATATACGACACATAAAAAACAATAATTGTTTAGTGTCCACCCATTTTGGTTTTTCCACTTTGGGAAGACTGGTACATGCAGATAAGAAATCTGTATGGCTTTGTGCACTGAAACTGAATAGCAGCTGAATATTTCAAAAGTTGGAAGTCGAGAACCATCGGAATTAGGCAAAATATCCAGAAGCTGAAAATTGCCTGTTACAGTATGTTTGTACCTGGCAGCAATTCTACTTTTCACTGCAGCAATTTTTCTAAGTGTTATGGATTAACTGAGGCAGGGTGTTAGCCAGGATTTCAAAAGTGGCCGTCCAAAATAATTTTGTGGGCGTGGCAACATATTTTTATGGGCGTGGTCACATGTTTTTGGGCATGGCCACAATTCTCTGGTGTTTTATTCGTTGAACCTTTTTACTTTTAGATGCACATTTTCGTCAACAAATTAGTAAAAGCACACGTATGGTATGATCACTACCATAACTGCATGTACCGTGGCGCTCAAGCGATAAAACGATTGCTTTTTTTTAAAACAGCGGTTTCACATTATTCTCCTTGATACTTCACACAAGAATCATCAAAAACATGGTGCGTTTTACAAAAATACTGTATGGCGCGAAGTATTCAAGAAATATTGCAAAGCTTGTAGGTTGCTATTTAAAGAAATTATTCCCTTAGGCCGTCCATGGCCGTCCATTAAAATTTAGCCGTCCAAATTCAGACGTGGCCGTCCATAGGACGGTCGGACGGACGCCTGGCTAACACCCTGAACTGAGGATGAACACAAACATATGTAAAGTCAAATTATAAAGAATGTCAAGTGTGAAACTTCTCTTTTCTTTTTCGTAAAAGATCAAACATAATAACTGTCTGTTACAGAAAGCAAAAAATCCATAACGAAATGTCAAATGAAAACTTGATGTTGAAACCTGCATATGACAGGACGCGAAATAATGGCTGCAGGGTCACCGGTCAAGGTGACCCGCCAACTCAATTTTAGCTCGGACATGCCGAATTTCTGGCCAGTCAAATTATTCAGCTTAAAGCAAAGCCCAGTAAAGTACAGTATACCCCTTTTCCTGCAAAATATTCGACAACATGTTATGGTTCTTATTTATAATACTTGACTTATAATATTAAAATGAAGATTAGTTTGTTCTTTTACCGATTTTACCGAAAGTGACCGGTCAAAATGACCGGCAAGGTAAGAATTTGACCGGACAACTACACATTCTGGCCGGACATTGTCCGTTGACCGGCCGTTATATCGCGCCCTGTATGAGTGATGCTTTTTATTGGTGGTACAAATATTTTTATAAATCTCACTTCACAAGAAACAGCAGGCAAAAAATTGCTGTCACTGACATGTCTGGATGTATTGCTGGTGGCAATTGCCATCGCTAATTCCGATGGCTGAGTCAGGCAATTTCCTCAGATTGGGTGTGGACACTAAACAAGCAATTTTCAATGAGGTCTAAAGCACAAGTGCTAGATAGGTAGAGTATCAGGTTTTTAAGTAAGTAACATCAACATGGAAAATTTAGTTGCACTACAACTGGACTAAAAAAACTTTCCAAACTTATTACTGTATATGGGTATATCATCTGATGAGTACCAGTATCGTATGAAAAAAATAAAAATAGTCTATTTTATAAAATCTCAACAACTTTACTATGAAAACTAATACTCTGAAATGGCCTACAAACCTACTTACGACATATACAATTTCTACAACACTTACGTATCAACATCTCTTTTGCGATTTTGGTGACAAACCAAAAAGAGCACCAGTGCAATCTGAAAGCCGTCTCTTTAATCGATTACATGTAGACTCACATTCTTCAATCTGTCCAGTAAACTTTGCTTGCTGTTCTTTGAGTTGTGACAGTTTACTTTTCGTCTTTTCTTCAGAAGTTTGAAGGTCGCAAATTTCTTGTTGTAATCTTTTCATTTCTTCATTCAACTTTTCTTTCTTTGTACCGATCGCCACTAGGACATCTTCTGAGCTATTTATGTCACAATCCAACTTTAACTTTGATGCTTTTAGCTCCTGCAATGTGCTTTGGGTTGAATCAACTTTCGCCGTATCGCCAGTAATAACATCCTTAAGGAGGCTCTCAAACTTTTCAGATACATCAGGCTCCGACAGCAATTTTATCAGTAACACAGGTGTGACACTGATGCCTCTACAAGCAGTAGATTCTTTTGGTGGTGGTGTACGTGGTTCATTTATGTTTTGTTTTGGCAGTTCAGGACTTGTGCTACTATCAGGGGGGGTTGGAAAGTCAATATTTTGACTGATGGTTGCTGGGTCAAATCCTTCCAAAAAACCATCATTATCACTGACATCTGCCTGTCGTAATGCTTCAGCCAATATATTCGACCCCAAGTTATTATTTTCGACCGGTGAGGATTCTGATTTTTGCAATTCATCTGGTTCTTTTTGTGAATCATGACTTGTATTCTCGTCCACGGTTGTTAAATCGGAACTGTCGGTAGATTGACTTACGCTTAGACAGAGGTCAATTTGTTTCTCAATTACGATTTGCTCCTGACCACATGATTCATCTAACGAGTCAAGATCAAAGTTTCCACTTCCTTGGCTAGTTCCTAACGATCCAAGTTCACCGCTACATTGGCTGGTGCTATCAACTTCCATTCTTGATGAACAAATTTCACTTGTATTGTCTTGATGTTCATTTTCATGTGGACGCGTAAAAACAACTTTTTCTTGCTCAGCAACTGTTGCATTTCTCGGCTCTGTAAATGACTGGTCATCCCGTACTAACGAAGCATTTTGCCCCACAGGTGTACCATTATAGCTAGAATTAGCACACGAGCCATTGCACCTATCAACAACATCTTGTAAAACACTTGAACTGTCGTGTTCCACATTTTGTCGGGATGCATTATTGCGATGTTCACAACAACATTCATCCTTCTCTGAATCAGATAACATTTCCATCTTGACAATAGGAACGGGACAATTTGAAAACTTATACGCTTCTATCAATGCAGCAAATTCTTGATTGCCATTTTTTAAAGCAACCAAAATAGGCGTTTCGTAGTTGCTATTAGAGATGCTCAGGTCAAGCGATTCAACTGCATTCATTACCATATTTAAACTCGATGCAACTGTTTCGCTACGGCAACTAGCTGCAATATGCCAAATGGTATTCCCGCTTGAATTTTTAAGCGAAAATCCGTTGCGGATAAACTCCTCCAATAGCTTTCCTTGTTTTATCAAATTGACCAAACGTTCGCACAGAACCTTGAACAATGCTTGATGGTATTGCACCAATCTGGGACAGGTGCCAATATTTTCCAGCAAAAGTTTAAGACAAAGTGCTAACGGTGTGTTACGTTCGACATAATCGTACCGAAGCATTAATTGCGGGCATTTGCCGGTGAAAATATTGAGAACTTTTGAAAAGACTTGAATGATATTCCCCAATGAATATCGCCTACCACGCCCGATTCTCGGGTCGACGGCTCGCTCGTGTGCTTGGCATGCTATGAGCCTATGCAAGGCTGTTTCGCCTTGGGTATTTGTGACTTCGACGTCAAAATCTTGGTCAAGCAGCCATTGCAAAGCAGAAAGTTTGCCATAAACTGCAGCCCAGTGAACTAATGGAAAGCGAAAATACTTAGCTTTGTCAGGAATATCGGTATTTCTGTTCCATCCAGCTGCCAATTCTTTGCGAACGTGGTCCTTGAACTTGTCGAACGTTTTCGGGTCGTTTCGTTTGCTTAACACCAACGAGAGCAGCATTTCATGATGCGTAAAACCACAGTCGTCTTCGCAAAATATCGTATGCCCTTCTTTAACTCCAAACATGCTAGATCTCTTTTCAAAAAGTCGTTTATTTCGGTTGTGTTTTGACTCGTACATGTTCATATTACGGTTACCAAAATGGCGGTCAAGCATGTGTGATGTGTGTTTTGCACGCATACAGCAAGGGGGGTCAAGTACATTTTGGTTGGGGGGGGGGAGGGGGAGGGGGGCAGAGATATCATATTGCCATTCTGTCTATAAAGTTACTGTAATAAGCCCTGGCCCCTGAGAAGCGAGAGTTGGTATGAGAGTTTAATCTCTCATGCCACGGTCAAACGAGAACAAGAGTTGCATGAGAGTTGATGAGAGTTGACTGGATATTACCGCGCGCGTAGCCAAAACTCTCATCAAAATTTGAACCAGGGAACGTGGGTTGAGTTGATATGTCACTTGAGGAGAGTGCATGAAAGTCGATGAGAACTGACGATCAAAGGCGAACGAGGGATGCAACTCTCATCAACGTTTGACCGACGTTTTAATTGCGTATCCCCTGTCCAAAATTTGTATCAAATATACACCGAAAACCGGTATATACAAACACGACATGCAGCACCTTTGTACTCTAAATATTTCTCTCTGATCAAATACGTATACGACTGTGTTTATATATACTGAAAACCCGCGTATACATATACGATATCACAGATGAAACTATTAACAGCGCCCTTGTTTCTCTGTAAATATTCCTCTCTAATCAAATACGTATATGACTGTGTTTATACATTTTGAAAACCCGTATACATATAAACACGATATCACAGATGAAACTACAGCGCCCTTGTTTCTCTAAATAGTCCTCTCTAATCAAATACGTATATGACTGTGTTTATATATACTGAAAACCCGTATACATAATAAACACGATATCACGGATGTAACTACAGCGCCCTTGTTTCTCTCAGAAAATAGTCCTCTCTAATCAAATACGTATATGGGAGTGACTGTGTTTATATATACTGAAAACCCGTATGCACACGAAACTACAGCGCCCTTGTTTCTCTAAATATTCCTCTCTAATCAAATACGTATATGATTGTGCTTATAAAAACCGAAAACTGGGACATATATAAACACGATATCACAGATGAAACTACAACACGCTTGTTGCTCTAAACATTCCTCTCTAATCAAATAAGTATATATGACCGTTTGTATGTATATTCCGAAAACACTATAACACCCTTATTACTCTAAATATTCCTCTCTAATCAAACACGTGTATGACTGGGTTTACAGTATATACCGAAAACCCATATATATATATAAACACGATATCACACATGAAATTCACATGAAACCCTTGTTTACTCTAAAAATTCCTCTCTAATCAAACACGTGTATATGACTGGGCGGTTTATATATACCGAGAGCCCGTATGTATATATAAACACTATGTAAATTTGTAACCATATATCTAAATCTCTAATGAGGGAAAGTTCAAAAATTGCTAAAAAAGTTTCTCTTAAATGTAGAAATACTCAGAGTGTTTTATTTTTCTGTCCAGTTGTTCCAGTTCTGTTATATACATATATGACAGTGTTTGTACATGAAAACCCATATTATAACACGATATCACACAGGAAACTAGAACACACATTTTCTCTCATGCATGCAATTATGAACCCGGTTGTGCAAATCGTCTCATTTGACTTGGGCAACCCAGGGCCTTGACCCCCTCCCCCCCTCCCAGTCAGTCAAAGTCCCTTAATTTTCTCTAAAACATAAGCAAACTATTGGAAGAAAAATTGAATTCAGAAGGGAGGTTTGATATTCTAGTAACTGAAATTTGCCTTGCGTGAAACTTATGCCCTGCCTTTTATCTTCAAACGATTCAATGTCTTTTTAAAAATGCTAAACATTGTACAAATTTCCAAGACCAAGTGGATAGCATATCTCAGACCCTATAGATTTGAGTTGTTGGAAGGCTAGGCTAAATACGTTTGTGACCGAGTTGTGGTATTTATATAAACACTTAAAAAAATCATTAATAATTCACGAGGAAAATACAAAAGAAATGAATGTTTAATCAATGTTTGTAAATCGGATAAAGATTTGTCCTGATTTACATAAACTTCAGCTTTGATTTTCTCGGCTTAGATAATGTTTATTTTTAAAATTACTTCGCCAATGAACTCATAAGATGGGTCATTTTTTAAGTACGATAAAACATTCGCATCTGATCTGTATCTGATATACAAACTCTCGCCTTCGGCTCGAGTTTGTATAACAGATACAGATCGGCTGCTCATGTTTTATCTAGTACATACCATGTTGTCGATGCAAGTATTTAGCTGAAGATTCAGTGGGAAAATACAAACATTTTCTGTGGGAGAATACCCCAATACATACGACACCATGCCAAACTTTTGTCACCAACAGCCATCTGTCATAATCTCCTCACACTCAGTATAATATGGTCCTTTTTTGTTGACGCTCCTCCCACCAGGGACACATTCTTAAACAAGGCTCTGGAGAAACCTTAGTATGTTGTTAGGTCGAGAACCTCATTAGAAAGCCCTAGCGGGCCTAGTCAACCCTCATTTAGAAAGTCCAAGAGGCCGAGCCTGATGGCCGACCCTTGGGCTTGCTCGATCCTCGTTTAGAAAATCCTACCCTTTGGAAAACCTTGGGGGGGGGGGGGTCATAAACGTTCCAGTCGTTAAAAAAAGCCTCTCTTTTGACAATAAATTTACAGCATGATTTACATGCACCATGGATTGTTGCACACCAGAAGTTACACATCGTAAAAATTATTTTTAATATTGAATTACAAAGAGTTTCTCGACTAAAACTAAATCTACAGTTACACCAATTGTTCCCAAACTTAAGAATAATAAAATACAACTAAGGGCCTGTTTATGTGGAAGCCGGGCTGGCCCGGTAAGCGGGACAGCCGGGTAAGCGAGATCTCGCTGTGTAGTTATTCTTATAGTTAAAATTATCGTGCACGTTTATGTTGTACAGGTGGGCTGGCCCGGTTGCCGAGATCTCGCTTGAAAGAGGCAAGATCTCGCTTACCGGGATGGAAATTTCTCCCTATAAACACTCACAAGCGGGCTATCGCCTCCGCCAAACCCAGAGAGCCTGCCACGCAGGCTAGGACTAGCCTGGTTGCCGGGATGAATGTTCAAAGATAGCGCTGCAAACTATTTAACTTCCTGTCAAAACAATATCAAAATAACGAAATTGTCCCGGCAAGCGGGATGAAATTTAATCATACTGTATAAACACACGAGTAATCACTTGTTTACCGGGTTATCTCGCTAAGCGGGCCAGCCCAGCTTCCATATTAACGGGCCCTAACTATAAAACTATACTAGTATATTAGTCAATAACTAGTTCAAAACTAGTGAATTATCTAAAACAAATGTACCAATTATATGTGTTTCCCTTCGATTACACCAATACTAATACGCTAGAACTATAAGAATGTTCTAAAGAACAAAATTTAAAATAGTCATTAACTAGAATATAACAAATTTTATGAAATTTTCTCTTTCATATATAAAGCGAAGTAAGCAGAGCTTATGGCTTTAAAAAGATATCTCATATTCGCAATTAAAGGTAACTGGTTGATAAAAAAGCGAAACCGTTTCGCTTTTTTATCAACCAGTTACCTTTAATTACTAAAACAAGATCTAAATTTGGATCACGGATTAATATTGAAAACAATATGTTTTCATTTTGCTAAGAAATGAAGGCTAAAGGCCTGGTCACACTACACAACGATAACTTGTATATACGCCCGCTGATTGGTAAAAAATTTATCGTTATACCCGGCGAAAAAACACCATTTGAATTAATTACTAGCTATTTTTAACTAGTGTTTATATGTACGAATTAAAATATTTCAGTACTAAAAAACGTAGCCCAAATTTAAACTTAAGACTAAAAAGACAAGTTTTGATCACGTATGTTTTACATGTCTAAATTGCGAAATGAGTTCTTGTCAGAATAATCAATTACTGACAAAAAATAAGCAATAGAACCTGATTATTAACAACGAGTATGAAATATCTACTCGTTACACCACTAGCACTGCGAAATTCACGTTATAATTAAAGTTCAATAATCATTTATGTCCTGGTAAATTCTTTCACGAGTCGTAGTACTTCTGCAGCAGAGCGGATGGCATGTTCTGATTGACCATCAAAAGAGTTATGAGGTACCATAGGGTAGGATAGTCGATTAGGATACCGTGTTGGAAGGTAATATTTGGCAACGCCCGAAGCCAAACTGACAACTTCATGGTTGTTCCATCGTTTAAGGTTGTTAACATCCGTTGCAAGGCTGTATACATCATGAGTGTGTAGCTGCTCATTGGCCAGACCACATTCGTAATATAATGCTGCTTTCAAACTCTTTTCGACAATTTGCTGACTCTCAAAACAAGCTATAGCATCGAATGGTTTTCTCGCTGTTCCTAACCACTGACATGTACTGAGGTCACCTTCCGCCTGCTGTATCCACCGTTTCGCTTCTCTTGGGTTTGGAGTGGTATATGCTTCAGCGCTATGAAACATATCAGAATTGAATCTAAATCCCGAAGTAGAAAATGAAATGTGGCTTCGATAGTTGTAAAACGCTGCGTTGTCCCGCGATGCTTGCGTGTTGCATCGTCGAACCATTTCATCAACGTCAAAGTTTTCTCCTAGTCTTTTATCCTCCTGTTTCATTCGCTCTATTTGTTCCAACAGAAATTTCATCATTTCAGCTGCAAATTCAGGATTGTTTAGGTTTTTATCCGGATGCCAAAGCAAATATAGCCGATGAATAGCCTTGCGACGTAGGTCTGGCGGCAAGCGCCATGCAGCACGAAGGGCTTTCAAAATCTCCCGCTTTGCTTCGTCGTAGGTCTCGGGCTTTTTGGCCACGTCGCCTGTGAACGGCACCAAATCTGTGCAAGAATTTTCTTCCGGATAATCTTGGTAAAACTTGTACAAATCGAGCACGCTCACTTCTTTTTGTTCACTGCCAATGTCGATCAGAAACCTCGCTTCGAAGTCGTACTCACCCTCGGTGGAATTTGATTTCACACATCTGATAATTTCTGCAAGGATGTATTTTATGGTCTCGCCATCTTGGTTGCCATCGTCTGGTAACTTGGCACAATACGCTACACGTTCTCCAGCGTGGAACACAAACAGAGGATTCTGCTCCAACAACTGATGAAACACGACAGGAACTTCACTGCCCAGTTTTACTTCGTCATTCTTTCCGGCGTCAACTTTAATATCGTGTTCATTTAATATTCCGGGAATCTCTAATGGTGTGTTACAACTCAACATACCGGAAATAGCCAGGAGAAATTCTTCTTTGATTCTCCAATCCAAGATCTTGTTAATGGACTTGGCTAGATTACTAGATATCACACCGTGTTTCATGTACAGCGTCCAAGCATCAGTATCGGCACGTTTAACAACAAAAGACTTGCGAGGCATGGAGCTGCCTTTCAACACTTCATTTGTTTTCACAACGACCAAGTGAACTTGAACCATTTCCATGCATTTTATTTCAACTTCGTTCAATCTTGATGCCGCTTGCTCTTCTTCCTGGGACAAATCACTGGAATCTTTCTGATGCTTTAGTAAACGAATAATTCCGTTCTTGAACTGCTCCGATTTGAGTAACACTTTGAGATTTTTAATGAATTCGCAGTCGCCATCGTCGTCGCTCTCACAAAGTTTACAAGGTTTCTCCAAACATGATTCATCCAACGTTTCTTTTGCGACAACATTAAATGGTTTGGGGCGTAGTTTGGCGGGAAGTGCTTCAATATATTTACTTTCCAATTCCCTCTTAAGGCCACATGTTTCAAAAAAGCACAATGCATGGTAACGCAGTGTTTTGATGGTTTCAATATGGCGAGGTGGAATTTTACATAAAAGCTCGCTTGACGTGATTAATCTCTTATCTACACTCGGTAAGTACAACTCTTTGACATTGGCAATCGATGACTCTTTCTTCTCTTCTTTAGCTTCGTTCAACACTGACTCAAACAACAGAAACATCGCATTATTCGCTTTATTTTCAATGTCTGGGTTCATCTTGTTATCCTTCGTTCGATCTTTCATCTTCTTGAAAGCGCTAACAAGTTGTAATGGGGTTACGGTTTCTGTTGCTCCTAGTCGCTTTAATAAATGTTGTAGACTACCATAATCCAGAGGAACTTGATAAATGAATGGTACAAGGGATTTACCGTCTGGAATCTTAAACGAAAGTTGATCCCCTCTTACGACAGCGTTCGGATCATCTACAGGTACTAGGATACATTGAGTGCTTGCCAAACGATTTCCAATCATTTCACATGTGTTACTGCATTCAGCGGAGATTTCTCGTTTCGGACATTCCGTCACTCGTTGAAGGAATTCATAAATGTTATTCATAATTTTTGTAAGTTGTAAATTTTGTGGTAATTTTTGTTCTTTTTTTGAGTGTTCAGCCAGCACTCCGGAGATGTTCTGCAAGTGACTTATAACCATTTCTGGGGAAGGATATTTGACTTCGAGATTTGTGTACAGATCTTCAACATTACATTCCTGGTGTTCACTACAGATATATGATACCCCTTCCCATTCTGGAAGAAGATTAGCACTTGTCCAGACCAGAGAACGATATTTCCATGGTACAGCATTCGAGAACTGAACAAATGGTGGATTGGAACTTTCGCCACAGCAATGCTGCCTGTATAGGGAAAGATACACTTCTTCCACTTTCTTCGAAGCAATGAACTTTTCAGTGGAAAGTTCACGAAGAAATCGTGGACTATGTAAATGATGGTTTGTAAAAAAGAAATTCAACAGTACTTTAGATCTCTTTCTGTTCGTCTCGTCGTTTGGAGAAGAGTTCCCATCTTTAGCCACATGAGTTGCAAATTTCATGAATAATGTCTCATCTACATCTTTGATCATCCCAATCAACTCAAGAAAATCAAGCCATTTTTCTTCGTTGAAAGGAGGCGGAGGAAACTTGTGACTTGATTCATCTACCATAATCCTGAAAACTACGTTGCGTGGGTCATAGAACTGCGAGGCATGAACATATTCACCATCTATATTAGGGATGCATCTCGTCCACTTCAAATTTTTCAGAAATTCATCTTTGGCCTCAGGCTCATTATATAGGCTTGGAATAACTTCGTCTCTTATGTGAGTAAGATATTTAAGTCGCAATTCATCAGAAAATATTGCAAAATTTGGTAGAATATAGTTCCTGTAGAAATCAGCATTGCTTGCTTTTGCAGCAGCACCAAGTTGAGTGAGTAACTTTTCGAAAGTTGGTAACAGGTCCGAGTGCAAGAAAAGACAGCGTGTATGCTTTTGAAGTTTGTCAATTTCTTCAGGTGGGACATCAGCGGGGATTACGGCGTATTCCGAGAACTCTGATAGCGTGTAGTGTTTGCCGTTCATTCCCTTGTAGAATGGTAGTTGCTTTAAAATCTTATTGTACTTCTCTTTTTCCTCAACTTTGTCGTACCCATCTTGTATGAATTGAAGAATTCCTGTAATATCGTAATCCGATAAGTCGCTGGCATCCAAACTCTCTGTTTTTAGCATAAAATCGAAAACATTCAAGATATCGAAAACATTGTGAGGATGAGACACACACGATTCTGTCACCGCTATGAGCGGCTCTTTTTTGGGAGCGGGTTTACTGAACATAGAAGACACAGATGAAACAAACGTTCCAACAAAAGTTGGGCCACCAGATTCTTTTTCAGGCAAGGTAATATTAGTGTCAAGGAAAGGACAGTTTAACTTCTGCAAACTTTTGCGAACGTTTTTCGCTGCATTACTTTCATTTCCAACAAGCGTCATATCAATGACAGTTTTAGCCATCTCGACCGTGACAAGCTTCTTCGATGTAGTTGGTATAATTGGCCAAGCTTTAAGAGCTTCTAAAGGAGGGTTGCTATCATCCACTTCTTTGGAGTAAGTTTGCAAGTATACCCAAAGTCGCTTCAGCCACTTCTCAGATACTCCTGTTACACCAAAATCAAGGTGAATCTTTGCATTTTTCGTATCTTCTGGAAAAACATCTAACATGAACGTGTTCACCACTTCAGTGGTCAAGGGAAGTAACACTGTAGGGATACTGGGGGTAACCGTTGTATCACTTGTAGAATCGTCCGATGTCTCTTCAGAAGTACTTGCAGGTTTATCAGTTCTCAAGACGCTTGATAGAAAAGGAACTATTTCACGATGAACAAATTTATGAGCTCGTTTAGGAAAGAGATCACTGAATTTGGAGCAATACACTTTCTCTTCTTCAGAAAATACTCTTAAAACGCCATCAGCTGTTAGGAGTAGTGGTAAGCCAGTCAAACTTTCGCGAAAGTTTTCCCCTCTTTTACAATAAGTGATAAGCTTTCTCAATTTGCTCACGCTGGTGATCATTGTATCTTCTATGTTACACGGAAGCGTACCGATATTACACTCAGCATTTTTGGAGGAGAAACAACAAAGAGCCAACACCACACTTTCAGGGGATACTATACGTGGAGTACTGCCTGCCTTTTCAAATCCTTGCTGCAGCGAAGTGGGAAAATGTCCTGCAACTGGAAGTTGAATTCCTAGAAATATTTTCATGAGATCATCACTAACTTCAGGATTCTTTGGATACTTGTACTCATTCACAAAGAAAACGTCTTGTACAGGAAGCCATCTCTGTATTCTCCGAGGCATATTATGAGACTGCACATTTGCTGTTGGTTCATCCGCGACGACAACAGGCAACACTGGTTTCTTGTTATTCGCCAGGAAAGCATAAAGTGCTAGGGTAAGAGGAGACCAAGATTTATCCAGAACGTCGGGAAAGAGGTTGTGGTACCACGATAGACCTGCGTCAGCGGATGCTTCACCAGGGAAGAAACAAGACGTCTTGTCCTCACCGTCGCGTTCACAAAACCGCATGTACTTTCGAGCTTCGAGGATTAGGCTTGCATAACCCGGTGCTAGGACGTTCTTCTTAATCATTACGTTCCACAGTGCGAGTGGATCTTTTGAGTCAACATCCTTCCATAAGTCTCGTCTTCCAGGGTCGAGAGCAAAATGACCATTCACATGAACAGGCAAGGATGTTCGAACTGGCAAAGGCAAGAAGCAATATGCAAAATAACGCGGTGCCTCACTGGATACAGCTGGGCGTTGGTTTGATTCAACAAGAGCAGCTAACCCCCCATGTGGCAATAATTTGTAATCTCTCCCATTTGGAATTTCATCACTTTCATCATCATCAGTCTTCACTCCATAGCATTGGTGAACAAGCCAATGTTCGATGCAACCGTGTGTGTCACCAAGAACGAGGGGACACGTAACTCCATGCCAAGGGATATCTTTCGTGGGTGCGTCCTTGAATTTTTTCTTGTGCAAGTGTAGTGCTTCCAGTTTCTTCATATCTTCTTCGTCCACATTTGACGTTACTTCACACTTTTTCACCAGTGTACCATTCCCATTAATTTCGGAAAGGGATACTTTCTTGATGTGATTAAGAAACAGCATGGATCTTTTGGCTTCTCTTTCAAAATCATCTAAGAGGGAAACAATTTTATGCACGCTCACTTTATCGGAAATCTCAGAATCTCGCGACCTTTCCACAGTTCTGAGCGGTAATCGAAACATGGTGGAGCCTTCGTGATTAAACCCAAATCCCTCAAGATAACCTTCCATCGCGTCCACGAAATCATCTTTGAATGCTTGATCTATTGGACCGAACCTTTCCCCAGGGTATTCGGACGTTGCAGTAGGAGCGTAGCGGCAGTGTGGGTCAAGAACGCAAAGAGTCTCGCCGTTAGATATAAAACTCGGGCAGTCTGTCAGATGATACACGGCGTTGAACCCAATACCAAATTGCCCAGTTTTCTCTGCATTGTCGCCCTTGTTTCCGATTCCCAATTTTTGAATCCCTTCCAAATCGCTTTCGCTAAATGCCCGGTTGTTGTAAACACAAAGAGCTGGTCCTTGGAGTTCTTTAGCATTCTTTTGAAAAACGTTCTTGCATGGTAGAGTGCGTGTGTCGTAAATGAAATGAATTTCGGTAGCCTGAGCGTCATCTGCGTTTTGAACCAATTCTTTAAGTATTCCAGAATCGCAAGGGTATGACTTAAGAATGTTTTTCAGTCTAACTGTTAGCTTTTCGCTTTGCCCAAATGGAGTGCCTAGAGTTTTGGAGTATTTTCCAAGACGTTTGTCAAGAAGAGATTTCGCTCCTAGTTTAAACGCTAGATCTGATGTAATATCTTTGTGTACATTACGTGAGTCACCACGATCCGGAAGCCACGGTGTGCTGTTGATTGTTAGCTCATCAGCTTTGGCGAGAACCTTCGATTCGTCTGGAAGGTAAAACTGGTCAGAATTCCCTTCAAAAAACTTTACATCAGCTTTCTTCAATTCGTTTAAAAACGACACAGCAACTTCCAACTCTCCATCTGTCAATGCAGTACATCCTTTTGATTCCTTAAGCGAGTTAATTGCATCAAGAAAATCTTTCGCATCAAAACACTCTTTGACTTTGGTCATCTGCAGTAGGCTTTTGTATTCGGTCCTGAATGCTCCTGGTACACCGTACAAGTATGGGGCGCTATTTTTAAACCAATAAGTAGCAACTTTGTCACTAGAAACAAACGTGTCGTTGATAAAAAGCCACTTTCGGTTGACCAATTCATTCAGGAGCTCTTCTTCACCGTTATTCGGTTCTTCATCTTTTTTATTTACCACTTTGGCAAAATACTTATCCAGATACTCGTAAATACAATGACAGATTTTTAGCACTTTCGCTTTATTCTTCTCTCGGTCGTCTTTATTAAACGTTGACCAAACTTGGATAATATTGTCTAACTGTTCGAAAACTTGCTGATAGCTTGCATGTTGATGAGACATTCCAAGAACATCTTTCACATCCTTCTCAGGCTTCCCACAACCCAAGCTGTCGTGCGTACTTAAAATAAGACAGCACGAGCCGACAAGATCCATATGGTGTGGTACAAAAAGTTCTTTAGGAGAACAAAACATTTCCTTCTTTCTTTCCTGACCTTTCCAAGGTAAGCCATTCTTATAATCTTTCGGAGGTTCCTTGATGAAGGGCAAAAATCGGATGTCTTGAATGGTTCTTTCGTCTTTTCGCAAACTAGGTACTAGTTTGTTGACGAACTTGTTGAGATACTCCATAATCTTACGAGAACGTAGCAGAGCTTTGCCGTAGCACATTTCCGCAAGAACTTCCACAGACCTGGCTCGCTCGTAAATCACTTCCCATGATAATACATCTGTTTTCATGCCCAGTTTTTTCAAAACAAAAATTCGTTTTTCTGTAAGGAATTCTTCCCCGACAGGAAAACGGTTGTCTTCAGGCAAAAACAACTTGGCAGCAGCTCCGTTGGGGTTAATCAGGTCAGATGGTTTCACCAAAGTTTTCCTATCTTCTGAACATGGGATACAGGGAGTTTCCGTGAACAGCGACTCTAATTCTTTCTGCTCGGCCATTATACGATCTAGACCGAACTGCACCAACGGATTTCGTACCTCGTGGGATAATGCAAGCATATTTGGGAAGAAAAATTCGGTAAAGAATCTTTCCAGGGTCAGTGTGCGTTCTTGCAACGTTTCCCCTTGTCCGCATTCTTTCAACGTGGTACACACATCTTCTGGCATTTCAAACACATTTTCATTCAAACATTGCATCGCTTCAGTGACTTTTGGTGCTTGACGCAGGTCATCAGCTAGAATATATCCGCTATTGATGTCTAACCACGTACCGTTGCTTCGTAGAAGTGGCAGCGAGTTTCCCACTAACTTCATATAAACGTTATTTACAAGAGTTTTCCAAGTGCTAGACTCTAACTTGTTGTAACATGGCCACAATACATGAAATGGGTAGTTCTGTAATGCGCCATTTTCACACAAAGATTTCATAGTTTCCAAAAGCTGCATATAAGCGTTGCATAAAACATCACTCATAAGACATTCATTCCAGCGCACTTCCAAATCTTGCTGTTGAGTTGAACTACTTCGCCCCCAGATACTGCGACGATTATTCATGATAGCAAAAGAACTGTTGATGTGTACTGGGAGTCCGGTTGCAATAGAAAGAGGAAGGAAACAGAACGCTTCCCCAAAGATTGCCTCTGGAATCGGTGTGGTATCCGAAGATAGTTTAGCTGCTGTTCCACCACAAGGAAGTAAACCATCCTTCTGGCCTTCATTCATGGCCAGTTGCAAAGATAAATCAGTTCCCATACAAGAACTTACCAGCCATTGTTCTTTCCTTTGTTCAGCATTTTGTTCCGTTACTTCGATTGATATGATTTCAGACCGGGAAGGACTAGACGACACAGCAGTCTTTGAGCAGTTTGCTTTCCACCACTGAGAACATTCCTTTATGAAAGACAAATTGGGGGCGTCAGGAGTGTTTTCGGATCGATCTTCAGCAAGGTGTGCATTCAGCTCCAGATTTACAGACTCCGTACTTTTCTTGGTCGATAAAATCAATCGCATCGCCTGAGGATCTTCATCCTTGCCAAGCTCGTACACTTCAACTTCGTTCACACGCTGTGTGTATAACAAAATAAGTGACAGGCCTTCTCTCAGACTATTAACTAGAGCTCCTACTTTCTCTGCGCCATAGACTTCTTGACTTATTTCACTTCTGATTGCTTGTAACTTGGTACGAAAAGGGAAACGAAATAATGTCCCGTTGAAGTTAAATCTTTCCCCATCCTTCTGGTGGGTGTTGCAATGGAAAACGTCATGATAAGGTTGAAACTGGTCGAAAAATGTTTTCAGTGGTCTGGCATTCTTCGCAAGGTCAATACGAAGCCCAGGATGCGTCTCGGTTATTTTTCCAATCAAATGCTGGATATTTGGATCAAACACGACAAGATATTGTCTGCTTAGAAAGCTTGGTACGTCTGTAAGATGATAAACGGCATTGAAACCAAGTCCGAAGCGTCCAATCTTTTCCAGATCTTCTTTTTTTGTTGCTCCTGCAAGCTTATTGATATTTTTGAAGTCGCTATCGCTAAAAACAGCATCGTTGTACGCCCAGAGCGCAGGACCTTGGCATTCGGACATTGAAGGAGAAAAAAGGCTTTTCTTTGGTCCTTCTCTCCAGTCAATCAGAAAGCACACTTTTGTTGCACCAGCATCATCCGCATTTTGGATCAATTCCTTGAATACGCCGACACCCTCTTTGTAAACAGAAAGGATATTACTTAATCTCGTCGTCAACGGCTCGTTTTGCCCAGTTAGTTCAAAATCAAGTTCCTCGCCAGATATTAGACAAGTGCTCAATGGTTTCACTCCTAACGATCTTGCGGTTTTTGCAGATATTGACTCGTCAATAAGGAAGAATTCTTCGGGAATATCAAGTTCCGATCGACCTTGACGCATCCAATCATGATCACAGAATGTACAATCCTTACACGGCTTGAGGATTAAAGATTTCTCACTTGTCTGAATGGGAACCATAACTTCTTCTTGCAAGTCGACGGACAACTCTTCGCCATCACCAACGAGCCATTCAACAATAAAACGGCACAATTCGACGTCATGCTTGATATTTTCAGTCGCATTAGGTGAATCACTCTCGTGTTTTTTCTTTACAGATGACAAAACTGAGATGATATCTTTCTTGGAAAACTCTCTCCGTACTCCGTTTCTGACGAAGAATTCTTCGAGTGCTTCATTTGGGTGTAGATATTTTGGCAAATAGAACAAGTGAGGATGAAGATCAATAAGAAAATTCTCCATTGCAACTTGAGTGGGACATGCGAAGCCCGTTTCATGCCAGACCCAGTGTGCGAGTTCAGCTTGTATTAGAGCTCCGGAAAGTATATCTTGAGGAATTTCAGCTAGATGTGTGTAAATAGCAAGTATCAAGTCTTGAAACTGCGAAGTAGATTTCATCTCATGAGGATCAGTGCGCCATAACTGGACGGCTTTGGAAAGTTGTTCAACAACATTTTCAATTGGCAGCTCGACGACTATGCCCAACTCGACGAGGAAATTGTCTCGAATTATGTCTATTACAGGCATACAAGAGCCAATCAAAAGAGCTTGAGATTTACCACGAAGTTCATCAGGTGAAAAGAATGCGTTTTCAACATCAAGCCAAGGCATTTTCTCGGGATATCGACAGCTTTCTGGTGGCGATCGTGCGCGTGGAAGCCACTTAACTACTCGCAATTCTTGTTTAAGTGTACTAGATCCGTTCACAACTTGTGAAAGACATTCTGTTTTATGTTGAAGGATGCTCACCAACGCTTGGCTCTTTTTAATCAACGGATCTGAATACTCGGACAATGAAATCGTCTTTGCAACATTCAACAATTCTTCGGGCACTATCATAGCTTTGCTACGCAGACCTAACTTCTTTAGTACAGTTAGAAGCGAATCGTTATTAGCAACAAAATCTTGGTTAGGAAATTTTCCAGGTTCTTGGAAAAACAATTCCTGTAATTGACAATCATTTGGATCGAAAAGTTCTGCTGGTTTCCTCAGTTGGCCGTTATTATTCAAAATAGATTCGTTATCTCTGAACAACACCTCTAATTCCTCGTGACCTTTCAGTATGCAATCCAACCCATAGCGGACCAGTGGTTCTCGTAACTCGTGTGTAATTCTGGAAATGTTTGGGAAAAATAACTCTTGGAAAAATCGCTCCAGTGTTAATGTACGACTTTTTATGGTATCTTCATGGCCCGCTTTCTTAAACGATTTACAAATTTTTTCAGTCAAATCCAGGGCATTTTTATTCAACAAATTCATAGCTAAGATCACCCCTGGAGCATCGCGCAGGTCATCATCAAGAATAAAGCCACTGTTGATATCCAGCCATTTCCCATTGCACCAAAATATCGCCAATGACTCGTTTACTATTTTATCATATATACTCTTTACTAATGGTTCCCAGATAGTTGAGTGTAGGAAATCGTAACATGGCAACATTGTTTGAAGGTTTTCCGTGGCATCATCAAGAAGTTTACACTTGATTTCTTGCAAAAGTTTAATATATGAACATGCGACGGCATCACTCAGTAAGCTTGCATTCCATTCACCCTCGAACGGTTTATCATGTTCTGTTGTACCGGGTTCCCAGAGCGCACGACGATTCGACGTGATAGCAAAGTAACCGTTGATGTGCACAGGGAGACCAGTTTGGATGGAGAGTGGGAGAAAACAAAATGCCTCGCCTGAAACAGCTAAAGGAATTTTTGTTGCAGTTTGTACATAATAATTTAATTTTGCTGCAGTTTCAGCAAACGGCATCAGACCTTTCTCCCGACCTTCGGATGTAAGCGCCAGAGCGGAAGACGAGCCTGTTCCCATGCATGAGTTAGTTAGCCAAGGTTCTTGGCGGAGTGAATGCTCAATCTCACCAGATGAAGATGTTGTTGACTCGACTATGTCGATTGTAATATACTGCGATTTAGAAGGACATTCGCGTAAGGAAACTTCATCTTGCATCTTGTCACCCCACCACTTGGAACAAGTCTTGATGAATGGTGTGCCATTGCCAAGACTATCACCAGTCTTCTTCACGGACAAAATCGGTTGCATCTGTTCCGGCTTCTGGTTGCTCTTTAACTCAAATAGCTCCACCTCAGTCACGTGTTCAGTGTAAACCAATAGTAACGAAGCGCTTTCTCTAAGGGACTCGACGATGCCTTTCACTTTTTCTTCGTCGTACACTTTCTGACATATGTCACTCTTCCCAGCTTGCACCAATGTCCGAAATGGAAACCGAAATAATGTTCCTTGATAATCGAACGATCCCTCTGCGTTGTACTTCATATTGCAACCAAATATGCCATGATATGGTTGGAACTGGTTTTCGAATACTTTCAGAGGTCTCGGGAACTTTGCTAGGTTGATACGTATACCAGGTTGCGAAGCATTCGTGATGTGTTTTTGTAAATGATGGCAGTTTGGATCAAACATAACAATGTACTCTCTACTTACAAAGCTGGGTACGTCTGTCAGATGATACACGGCATTGAAACCAAGACCAAATCTTCCAATGGTTGAAATATCTTGCTTTTTTGTTGCTCCAGCAAGTTTGTTGATGTTTTCGAAGTCCTCGTCACTAAACAACCCATCGTTGTAAGCCCATAATGCAGGGCCTTGACATTCAGACATGCCATCTGCCAAGAGTCTATCTTTCGGACCAACTCTCCAATCCACTAGGAAACGAACTTTACTGGCTCCAGCATCGTCAGCATTTTGAATCAACTCCCTGAAGACTCCAACTCCTTCCTTGTAATCCTCGAGAATGTTATGAATTCGTGTGGTAATTGGCTCATTAGGACCAGATTTTTCAATACCCAAGTCAAAATCCAAGGTTTCCGCTGACAACAAGCAAGAACTTAACTTCGGGACGCCGAGTGAGATAGCGATCTTTGTTGGTACTGAATCATGGATTAATAGATACTCGTCAGAGATATCTAGCTTTGACTCTCCACGGCGTAGCCAATCAGCATCACAATAAGCACACTCCTTATAATGTTGCAAAACCAAAATATTGTCTTCACTTTCTACGGGAAATAGCAAGTTCTTTTTTATGCTTTCCGACAAATTTTTTCCAACAAGCCGTTCTAAAATGGAGCGACATATATTTAAATCTTTTTCGACATCACCTGCATGCAGATCAGATGTTTCGTGTTTTTGCTTCAAAGCAGGAAGAACTGAAATGATGTCTTCTTCGGAGAACCTTGCATGTACGCCACTTTGAAGAAAGAATTGTTCCAGCTTCGCATCCTCTTTGAGTTCTTCGGGTAAAATGAACAATTGCGGGCGTAAATCTAACGGAACATCCATCTTGAAGGATATTTGAGAAGGTGAGCAAAATCCAGTTCCATGCCAGACCCAGTGTGGGAGTTCAGCTTGTTTCAGCGCTTTCGAAAGTGTATCTTGAGGAGTTTCAGCTAGATATTGGTAAATAGCCAAAATCAAGTCTTGAAACTGCGACGTAGATTTCATCTGAGGATCAGTGCACCACAATAGGACGGCTTTGGAAAGTTGTTCAACAACATTTTCAATTGGTAGATCGACGACTATGCCCAACTCGACAAGGAAACTTTCTGGAATTATGTCTACAACAGGCATACAGGATCCAATCAAAAGAGCCTGGGATTTACCGCGAAGTTCAACAGGTGAAAAGAACGCATCTTGGGCATCAAACCAAGGCATTTTCTCGGGATATCGGCAGCTCTCTGGTGGGGATTGTGTGCGCGGTAGCCACTTAATCCCTCTCAATTCTTGTTTAAGTGTACTACATCCGTTCATATCCTGTGAAACACATTCTGGTTTAGATTGAAGAATGCTTACCAACGCTTGGCTCTTTCTAATCAACGGATCTGAATACTCGGACAGTGAAATGGTCTTCGCAACATTCAACAATTCGTCGGGCGATATCATAGCTTTGTCACGCAGACCTAACTTCTTTAACACAGATAGAAGCGAATCGTTATTGGCAACAAAATCTTGGTTAGGAAATTTTCCGGGCTCTTGAAAAAACAACACCTGTAATTGAGAATCATTCGGATCAAAAAGTTCTGCTGGTTTCTTCAGTTGGCCGTCATCATTTAAAATGGATTCGTTATCTCTAAACAACTTCTCTAATTCCACATGACTTTTCAGTATGCAGTCCAAACCATAGCTGACTAGCGGTTCTCGTAACTCGTGTGTAATTCTGGAAATGTTTGGGAAAAATAACTCTTGGAAAAATCGCTCCAGTGTTAATGTACGACTTTTTATGGTATTTTCATGGCCAGCTTTCTTAAACGATTTACAAACTTTTTCAGTCAAATCCAGGGCATTTTTATTCAACAAATTCATAGTTAAGATCACCCCTGGAGCATCGCGCAGGTCATCATCAAGAATAAAGCCACTGTTGATATCCAGCCATTTTCCGTTGCACCAAAATATCGCCAAAGACTCATTTACTATTTTGTCATAAACACTCTTTACCAATGGTTCCCAGATAGTTGAGTGTAAGGAATCGTAACATGGTAACATTGCTTGAAGGCTTTTGGTGGCATCCTCAGGAAGTTTACACTTGATTTCTTGCAAAAGTTGAATATACGAACATGCGATGGCATCACTCAGTAAGCTTACATTCCAATCACCCTCAAACGGTTTATCATGTTCTGTTGTACCGGGTTCCCAGAGCGCACGACGATTCGACGTGATAGCAAAGTAACCGTTGATGTGCACAGGGAGACCAGTTTGGATGGAGAGTGGTAGAAAACAAAATGCCTCGCCTGGAACAGCTAGAGGAATTTTTGTTGCAGTTTGGACATAAGAATTTAATTTTGCTGCAGTTTCAGCAAACGGCATCAGACCTTTCTCCCGACCGTCGGATGTAAGCGCCAGAGCGGAAGACGAGCCTGTTCCCATGCACGAGTTAGTTAGCCAAGGTTCTTGGCGGAGTGAATGCTCAATCTCACCAGATGAAGATGTTGCTGACTCGACTATGTCGATTGTAATATACTGCGATTTAGAAGGACATTCGCTTGAGGAAACTTCATCTTGCATCTTGTCACTCCACCATTTTGAACAAGTCTTGATGAATGGTGTGCCATTGCCAAGACTATCACCAGTCTTCTTCACGGACAAAATCGGTTGCATCTGTTCCGGCTTCTGGTTGCTCTTTAACTCAAATAGCTCCACCTCAGTCACGTGTTCAGTGTAAACCAATAGCAACGAAGCGCTTTCTCTAAGGGACTCGACGATGCCTTTCACTTTCTCTTCATCGTACACTTTCTGACAAATTTCACTTTTCCCAGCTTGCACCAATGTCCGAAATGGAAACCGGAATAATGTTCCTTGATAATGAAACGATCCTTCTGCGCTGTACTTCATGTTGCAATCAAATATGCCATGATATGGTTGGAACTGGTTTTCAAATACTTTCAGAGGTCTCGGGAACTTTGCTAGGTTGATACGTATACCAGGTTGCGAAGCATCAGTGATGTGTTTTTGTAAATGATGGCAGTTTGGATCAAACATAACAATGTACTCTCTACTTACAAAGCTGGGTACGTCTGTCAGATGATACACGGCATTGAAACCAAGACCAAATCTTCCAATGGTTGAAATATCTTCCTTCTTTGTTGCTCCAGCAAGTTTGTTGATGTTTTCAAAGTCCTTGTCACTAAACAAGCCATCGTTGTAAGCCCATAATGCAGGGCCTTGACATTCAGACATGCCATCTGCCAAGAGTCTATCCTTTGGACCATCTCTCCAATCCACTAGGAAACGAACTTTACTGGCTCCAGCATCGTCAGCATTTTGAATCAACTCCCTGAAGACTCCAACTCCTTCCTTGTAATCCTCGAGAATGTTATGAATTCGTGTGGTAATGGGCTCACTAGGACCAGATTTTTCAATACCCAAGTCAAAATCCAAGGTCTCTGCCGACAACAAGCAAGAACTCAACTTCGGGACGCCGAGAGATATAGCTATCTTTGTTGGTACTGAATCGTGGATTAATGGATACTCGTCAGGGATGTCTAGCGTTGACTCGCCACGGCGCAGCCAATCGACATCAGAATAAGCACACTCCTTATAAGGATGCAAAATCAAAATATTTTCTTCACTTTCTACGGGAAATAGCAAGTTTTCTTTCATGCTTTCTGACAAATTTTTTCCAACAAGCCATTCTAAAATGGAGCGACATAACTTTAAATCTTTTTCAGCATCACCTGTAGGCACATTAGGTGCTTCATGTTTTTGCTTCAAAGCAGGAAGAACTGAAATGATGTCTTCTTCGGAGAAGATTGCACGCACGCCACTTTCAAGAAACAATTGTTCTAACTTCATATCATCTTTGAGTTCTTCGGGTAAAATATACAATTGCGGGCGTAAGTCTAATGGAACATCCATCTTAAAAGCTATTTGAGAAGGTGAGCAAAATCCTGCTCCATGCCAAATCCAGTGTTCCATGGAAGCGTTGTTCAATTGTTCGAAAACAACTTCCTTCGCACAGCGTGTGAATTGATTGTAGATGGCGACAATCATTTCCTTGAACAAAGCGCAAACTTTTCTTTCGTTCAAAGCAGACCATATTTGGATTGCTATTTTAAGCTGAGCAGCAACTTGCTTCACAGGAGGATCGGCTGTCAAACCCAATTTTTCAAGAACTTTTTCATGGAGGTCCATGCCAAGGATTGGCATTGATGAACCAACGACCAAAGCGTGCGATTTATTACAAAGTTCTAAAGGTGTAAAGTATTGAGTATTACAAGTATACCATGTCATGGATTGTGGAAAGCGTGGGCAAACCGTTTGAGAAGTTGTGGCACGAGGTAACCACTTCACCCCGAGTAATTCAGACTTCAGTGTAACACCCGAGTTAAGATTTTGGTTAAGATATTCTGGGGTATCGTTGAGGATCTTCACTAAAGCTTGGAGTTTGTGACTGGATGACAACTGTGAAGACGTGCTAATACATGCAGCGACTTGAAACAAGTCATTTGCAGTTATTTTGTCTATGGTCCGTAAACCCATCTGATCTTTCAAAATTGATACAACATGAGGTTCGCAGTAGTCATGTCTCGGAAATTTGTTTGGCTCGCTGTGGAATAAATTTAAGATTGTAGCGTCACCAGGATCGTAAAGGTCACTTGGTTTTACAATTTCACCTTTATCTGTAGGAACAAATGGTAAATTCTTCATTTCTTCAATGAATTTATCACTCTGTGACTTGAAGTCAAACACTCTTGCTATTATCCAAAGCATTACCTTTGCTGTCTCGTCAAGGCCATAAACATTCAGTGCTCGGATGTCTGGAAACAAGAATTTAACAAGAACGTCTGCCGAATTAAGAGTCTTGACGTCTAGAAGATGCAACAACTGCTGGGTGCTTGTATCAGCAGATGAAATTATCTGGTTACACCTACGGAACTTGAAATCATCTGGAAAAGTAAAGTTGGGCTCGGCCACGAATACAGTTTCGCTTCCTGTTTGGATAGCCGCGCTGGAGCCGTCTAGTGTATTAAATAATGGTAAACGGAGCAATAGATTACGTTGAGTACAATCTAAATTGGTTGGAAGGCGGGACAGAAAATCTCGTAGCTTATGTCGTTCATCTGAAGTAAATAACTTGACATGTGCTTGTGCTTTTTCTAACGAGGTCCGGGTGAGAACAGTCATGACACCCGTTGGAGTAGCGGAAGCAATGTATGTGTTGATGTCCGAATGTCTCAAGTTAGAAGATTGTTTTGGTACAACAGTACATCCAGATGCTTCAAGCAGGTTCGCAACTACATCTGGAAGACAGTTCCCTGAGACATCACAAGCAAAAATAAACTTGGACTGTTTTGATAAGACACCAAGTTGTTGTGTAGGCAGTTGAATAAGTGGCAGACCAATGAACGACTCGAGTGAATCTGGAAAATTGGCATTAATCCACGCCCAAATCACTTCTAACCAAGATTCTGAAGGATGACCAGCTTTCTCAGGCATCCACTGGACGACTTCATTGATATTATCAAACCATTCCACGGGCAAACATGAACGAAGGTTTTGGAGTGCAATCTCTTTGTTCATCAAAACCAGCTGTGTGGTACTTCTGCGTTGTGGGTCTTTACTTGCAAGTGTTTGAAGCTTGTCTCTCACCGTCGTCGGAATATCTTCACTCACAAATCGATTATCGAAATTTGGTAGCACAGACCTTGGACAATTTGCAGTGGCTACAAACACAGACGAAGAGGGATTCTCACCATAGGTATTTGATATGAATGTGGAAAAATGCTGATCTGCTAAAGGAAGCAGGGGAACTCCTTCCAAATCATCAGTGGGATCATCCTCCAAAATAAATTCCAGCAATTTTATTTTATCCTCGTGCGAAGCTTTGAGGTCGTGCTGCGTTTTTAAAACTGATCGCAGTAAGACAGAGGTGATATCACGTGAAGAAGGGAAGTAGTCGTCCACGATACTCAGAACATGAGTTGGAATGTTGGTGATGACAGTTTGCGAACAGCCCTGCAACGCTCTTAACACTGTTTCACGCGCGTTGTTATCAACCGGCAGACGATCAACAATACCATCTTGCAACCTGACCCAAGAATTACCGGATGTGGGCTGTGCAAGAAAGAGTTTCCACTCTTCTTTTGATAATTTTTGCAGCAGAGGATCCAAAATCACCTGCCAATGCCCTTTCACATTAGCTTTACATGGCAATGTCGAGTACACCAATTGACTTCTGGAACTTTCATCGATTCCAATGGATGGTGAATTTTGCAAAAGAACATGAAGAACTTTCAAATAAACTTCAACAGCAACGTTTGAAAGTAACAATTTGTTCCATTCAGCTGTCGAGCTCTGGTTATCTGCTCCAGGCCAAACAAGACCACGCCTGTTGTCAGTCAAGGCAAAGGCGCCGTGAACATGAACAGGAAGGCCAGTCTCGCAGTCGACATCAGGAGGTAAAGGAAGAAAGCAGAATATCCTTCCGTCGTTCTTGCTGCTTCTGTCATTGTCCAATGGTAATGCCATACCAATCCAAGGAGGAAGATTCTCTTTTGTGGCTAATTCTGAAATGCGTTCCACGTTAGAACCAATTTGGTTGACAACTAGCCATCGGAATTCTTCGGTAGTTGAATCTTTCGACACTTTAATATTCATAATATATGTAGATTCGGATATCTCATGATCGGACGTTCCTGCTGCTTTGTTCAAAAATACTTGTCGTATTTTTACAACTTCCTCGCGCGAGTCTTCTGCAATTTCAACCTTGAAGATACATTCAATTTCGCCATTCTCAGAACGTTTATGTAAACTAATGCTGCAGATGTTTTTTAGGAAAAGAAGAACAACGGATGCTTCTTTTTGTAACGAATCAAACAACTTCAACACCTTTTCTTTAGTGTATCGCTCATCCGATAATTCTGACGCTGTCGTGCGCAATGGAAAGCGAAAAAGTGTGCCTTCATAATTTTCGGAGTCGTCTAAATTACAACCAAATGTATCGTGGAATGGCATGAATTGATCTCTGGTCTTCTCTTGCAACAGTTCTTCGTCGAAATAATACGAGGTTACAGAACTTCCCCTACCTTTTTCATTTCTGAAATATTCTTCATGTGGATCCAAAAAAGCAATGGTAGCACCACTTGCAATTCCAGGAAGATCTGCAAATAAATAGGACAGAAACTTACACAAACAAGCACTAATCTAGTCTTGGAAATGGCAGTTGATCAAACGAGGGCACTTCAATATAGGGCGGTGATGCGGAAGTCGACTGGGGCGAGCGTGTTTTGGCCAAAATGGAAGAAAAAGTAGATTTTTAAGTGCCTAGTTCTTGAGGCCATTTTTCTCAACCTTTTTTTGTGTGAGTACAAACTAATTCAATAGTTATATGTACAATATCACTATGAGGACAGATTCAATTTGCATTTAGCAAAAATTCTGCTGTCAGAGAGAATTTATTATCGACAATGCGCGTGCTTTTGATTCACTTGGATGTTGACAAAATTTCAAATATGAATACCTTTTGTCGACTTACTGCCAACACCTACGAACTCACTAGGCATGTTAATAATCTCAATCTAAAATCGGAGTGGATTCTTAGAAGATATCGTGGCTGAGATTTAAACATTTTTAATTAAAAGCCTCTTTTCTGCATGGACGCTAAGTCAGAAAAACCTTCTGAAAAAATAGCGAAGATGTTGTATTTCAACTGGCCTGTGATTCGTTTGCAACTGTCGAATGAGTAATGTGTAGCTTAAGTTTTATGAAAAAAACAGGATTAATGTTATTATCTTAATGCATGATTCCATTTGGATTTGAAGATTATAATCTTTATTGCAAATAGTTAGTCTGCTTCAGAAGCACTTTCTCACAACAGTGATTTTCAGAGAGGTCATGGAAAAGTTTACATATTTCAGAAATTATAAGGTCAGGAATAATATAAATATATAGATTACAAAGTCCTAATATGTATTTCTTAATTCTATAGTTCAGCTATACAAAATTACGCTTAATTACCAAGGTCAATGGCCTGATACTCAAGCCTTTGCTTGCATGCCCCAGTTTTTGCTAGTATTGTATGATGAATATCGGCATTTTTTCAAACAAACCAAGCTATGCGATGTTAAATTATTAAGGCACTTATAAAGATATACAGACATCTATGCCTATATGGCTATATGGCGTCTACGGCGGCCAAATCCAGCCAAAATACTGAAGCATCAGTCGCTGATGAGTATGCTCTATACAAAATCACTTTAGACTTATTTTGCAATAAGGGAGTGGTCCTTATTTATGGGGGGGATGGGGAAAATAAGGATTGAAAACTTTTTTGACCCCCCCCCTCCAGACAAACTTTTTGTGCCTCCCCCCTCATAAAAGTAGAAACTTTTCTGACCCCCCCCCCAGTGTGGATTGAAAAATTAACAGCAATGATGTTGGTGTGCGTTGCAGGTAAAGTTAGATATTAGGACAATCTGTTTAATCTAGGTCATGATGTTTTACCCTGGTGAATATGATTCAACCATATATGATTAAAAAATATATATTATGTGTTACTACTTTGCAATGCAACATTTGTTCTACCATAACCCTAACCCATGACCCGTCTTCATACAGCGAAATTATTTGAACACGGGGTTTTTTCAAGAACTTGTCTGGGGGGTGGGCATCTACAAAAAGGGACCATACTATATTGAGTATGGAGAGATGACAGATGGTTGTTGGTGACAAAAAGTTTGGTGTGGTATCGTATGTACTAGTAGGGGGGTCTGGGGCTTCTTGTATTTTTCCACCCCTAAAACTGAAATGTGAGCATTTTCTGAAACAGATTTTTGGATATACAGCGTTACATTGTGCGTTGATAGACCGAATCTGATCAGTTAAGTGTACTTGCATGGTATGTTTATGTAAATACCACAACTGGGTCACTCAGGGGGTAGAAAGCTTGTTAAACTTAGTGGGTCCGACTCCCACGATCGCAAGGCGCTACCATGGTTGGCGCCGAGCACGGAAATTTTGAAAATTTTGAGTCTCTAGATCGTTGGAAATAGCATTTTCAAAGTCGTCTTTTTTGCTATTTGTGATTATAGAAATCAGAACTCTAGACATGGTATTTAAGTTCAAGAACTTTTATGACCCCCCCTTTCTCTATGCTAATACTTTTTTGACCCCCCTATTTATAAGGGTAAAACTTCTTTTGCCCCCCCCCTCCCATTTCCCAACCCCCCCTCCCCATAAATAATGACCACTCCCTAACCATTATTTCTACATTATTCTTATCTCCCCAAATAATATCACCATAATCTGGGCTTTGCAGCTCAATTTACTAAAAACCTAGTTTTTGTAAACATATAATGCTGAGCCTCTGTCTCTGATGCTGAGCGGAAAGGAATAGCTGATAAGTACATAGCCCAAAAAGACGTGGTGAAAATTTTTACCCTCGCACGTGGCGCTCAGGCGTGCATCGAGCTAGTCTACTTTGTTTAATATTATTATTATTATCATAATAATAAATCATAATATACTGTTACTGTGTTAGTTTGCAAATTAAACACAAGTTTCGAAGAACAAAAATCAGAAGACTTTACAGCGAATCTTCTAACCAAGTCAATAGAAAGTTTAACAGAGCAAATTGGCTAAAATTTTATCGAAAATTCAACCTGGGTCTTGGTCCTATCTGTAGTTCACTGTCCATTGACATTGTGTGCTTATTAAAACATAATTATGTAAAATAAACTTGAAAAACAGTCGTTTTTGGCAGTAGACATTTGGCATTTCTAATAACAGTAGACTTCGACTTGAACGGCCAAACTTCATAAAATATAAGGATGAGATATTATAAAGGGGAAAAACTTCAACATACCCACTTTGTGCTGTTATTTTCGTCGTTGAAAAATATATTTCGCCGCCAAGGAAGTCGGAAAAAGAGCAAAGGCAAGTAATTCCACATTAAATCATGTCTATCACAACTGTTTCCACATAAAAAAAATGTAATATATCCACAGAAAAAGCCTAATATTTCATTTGTAAACCTGAATAGGTAATATTTCATTTGTAAACCTGAATAGGTTTCTTCAAACAAGTAAATAAGGAAAAATCGAAAAAAAAACCTGCCAAAAAAATGATCTGTTTTTGTTGGATTTTCGCGCGAGAACACGCTCGCCCCAGTCCCTACTACATCGCACGTCGATCAATCAAACGACTGGCGTTGCACCGCCCACCGCCCTATATATACTGTAAACGCCCTTGTTGAAATCATAGATATCTTATATACACTAGATAGTGCATCTAATTATTCTGCAATTCAAAAATTGAAGCCGTGATTGCAGACTCAGGATATTCCCATGAAATGAGAAGACTCGTATGTTTTCTATTTCTTAAACAGGGAACTTAAACATTAAGTTAAACCTATTCCAAATACATTTTCAAACTATTCAAATGATGAAAGTTATTGTTGTGTTTTAAGCGTTTATTAGCGAGTGGGAAACTTCAACATGGCCGCCATCTACTATTAAATGGCGGTAACCGCTGGAATATTCTTGACTTCAATTTTACTAAAAGAGATGCGCTATCTAGTCTATATAAGATATCTATGGTTGAAACTAGTGGCGTAGTCAAGAGAGGGGCAAAATGACTGCCCTGTGAAAAGGTGTGAATAATGATTCCCAATAAAAGTTGTGGCCTTCCCTATCTAGAATCCTAACTCCAGTAAAAAATGCCTATCGAATGTATGGTGGTCAGTTGAAAGCACATTCGAACTTGAATTTACACGCAAAGCAAAAGTTCAAAGTTGATTCTTTTTATTACAACATAAGTTCCACTTCAAAAACGAAGTTGTACTATGATTTGTGTGTACAATACGATGTTTTACAAAAATATGTTTTCGATCGAACCAGTCGCCTAACTTAAAAATGTTTGCGGTGGTAGCTTTTCTTCAAACCTCGTCTTGAAATACGTGAAATGGAGTTGCCCCCGTACCCCCATCCCTACATTCCTCGCGGCTTTGGCGCGCTCTTTTGCCAAACACTTCCCCCCCCCCCCAGTTTAGACACTGGCTACGCCAGTGGTTGAAACTGTACCTGTCCAAGTACTTGAACAATAAAGATCATAATAGCATTGCGGGTGATTGAAAATATGTTTCCCTATCCAGTTTAAGTGGACCTCCGGTGTTGTTTTTAGCTCCGTATAATCAGTGACGTAGCCAGGATTTCTAGACAAGGAGGGCCAAAAAAATCCCAGGGGGGGCGAAGAAATTTACTCAGCACCACGTTGTCCATAGTACAATTAACGTTTAGCCTTAGGGGCAAATTTTTATATTCTAGAGTCGGTAAAGTGCCATGTTTTATGCATTCTCGGTGCTATTTTATCGTGTTTTGGTGATTTTAATAACCAATTAACACAAAACAACTCTATTTAGGGACTGGTCACTATTTATGGCGGGGTGGCACCGAAGAGAAAAAGGTTGGGTAAACTAAATTTTGAGCAAGTAAAAGGTTGGGTAAATGAAAAACAAAATAACTCAAGGGTTGGGTAATAAAAATTTATTGTCATTTCCAAAGCATGACTAGCCCGCGTGCAGGCCCAAGGCAGTTCTCTTGGGCCTGCACGCGGGCTAAAGCATGACTCACTGAAATATTGGAAACCAAAAAAGCACTGTTAACAGTGATATGTCAATACAATATGTGAATCAATCAGTGTCACTATCTTGATCATTTTCCGAGACAAATGGTACTGTCTCCAAAGAAAGTATATGTGCAGACAACATAAATGCAGAAAATTACACGATCCGTTATCAAATTAATGTCACAGAAGTGGTAAAGGACATGCGTGACAACTGAATGGTATCCGTTTGTAAAGTTTTTGGCCAGGGGTGGGTCTTTATTTCTTAATTGTTATGAGAACATTTCTCTTCGGTGCCACCCCCCACCATAAATAATGACCGGTCCCTTAATCATAAACGAATACAGAACAACTAAAACATAGCAATATATAAAATTTGCATTACAAGAAATGAAAATATAATGGACGTGCTTGTACTGGTCAGAATATTTCCAAGGCCAAGGGGGACCCAATGCAATATTTTGCCTAGCCTGTGAAAACAGCCTCTACTTTGCTGCTCCTATTAATATAACGTCGCACAACATTTGTGCGACGTTATATTAATAGGAGCAGCAAAGTAGAGGCAACACCGCGGAAAAACGTCTGCGCATGCACCAAATTATGAAAATATGGCGGGGAATTTGAATATCAATTTCTAAAACAAAAACATGCTTATTAATTGGTCAAAAATTAGTAAAACAAACGAGAAAATATAGCAAATGGGTAGACTAGACATTAATTGAAAGCGTCCTGGCATTTAAAGTATGGAATGAAATAAAATTCATGTAAAAAATTGTTGATTTTAACGGACACGACTTCGAAAATGTTTGCAAAATTATTCAAAACAAAAATTCAAACTAAAAAGTTAAGAAAACTCCCGAAAAGTTAAGCTTCTTAACCCACTCAAATTGTAGAATAAATCCTAAAGTTTAATTATTGTGAACACGCAAATTTTTTATATTTGGCGACACAGTTTTTTTTAAAGAAATGTATCTCAAACGAAAATTCGGAAATTGTCGTTGCTTTGTTGATAAACAAAATGTTTCAGACGATAAATTTGTCAACAATCACCTTTAGTTCATGTTCTTGTACAACACAATTTCTTGAACCTTCTGGCTGTATTTATTCCTAGTTTTTAGAATGACATGTTTATTTTTGCGCTCGAAATCTGGCTGTAAAGACGCACAATGAAGTCACTCCTTTTTACCGCCATTTTGAGCCTTCGGAAACGTTCGGAACAGCTTCTCATCAAGTTCGCAATACTATTACAGGTAAGGTTGACGCATGCGCAGACGTTTTTCCGCGGTGTTAGTAGAGGCTGTTTTCGCAGGCTATATTTTGCCAGCGGGCAAACAGATATAAACCCATTGCATATGACGTCACAGCGCCTGTAACGATGCATCTGGAGGACAAATTAGCAATCTACACATAATATAACTTTTGTAAACAAAGCAAATTTTGTAAAAGTTTATAATAATTTTGTATTAAAATGGTTAATACAGGCTACGCCTACGTAGGGTCTATACAGGGTCTAAAAAGGTCAATACAGGCTACGCCTACGTCACTGGGTATATATAATTCCTACATTATGTTTTCTGTTTTGACACTGTTTTTCCTTTGTTGGTAATTTGCATATCAAAGGACTGAACGAAAGCATTTTTTAATAACTCGCAAGCAGTAAATGGTTATTGGATGAGATCCGAACGGACATTTTGCCGACGGACGTTTTGCCGAACGGACATTTTGCCGAACGGACAGTTTGCCGAAAGGACAACTTGCCGAAAATAGAGATGTTCTTTCGTCACAATGTTTGAACTGTGCCTCATTTCTCAACTTTGTAATTCTCGACCATTGTGTAAAATAACCATTAAATAATCATTAGCAGTGCATTAAGCCTGGTTCACATTGATCGGCGATGTTCTACGATCCATTGTCTGTGAGCAACGAAGAAGAAAATGCACAAAACGACATTTTATGCATCAATGACCACCGACAATGGGCATCGCCGATGTTTACGATCAATGTGAACCAGGCTTAATGTGTCGTTAGCAGGGCATAATCATATTGACTATGGAGTATGGGTAGCTTGTTTGTGCAGCGGATGACTCATTTGTTCGGAACGTATTTTGACGACGAATTTTTTTATAAAAATTCAAATCATAAACAAGCAAGCGTATATAAAGACAACAACGTAAGCGAATTTCACTTTGTCTTTGAGAATCATTGTCATTGAATACATTCACAGTTCTCGGGGAAATCGCATTCATGAATGATGTTGAATGAGTTATTCTTTATATTACGAAATTTCGGTACTGAACTTGTCAAAAACTTGAAGTTGAAAGAATATAAAACGAAACTATACTTCGTCTTCGCTATCAAAGTTTTTTGTCATCAAAAAACGACAATGTCAATGTCTTTAATCACAGAAACCAAAACCTTGACCTTGTAAGCGAACCTTTAACGTTCAGAAGATATCTTTATTTTCAGCAAGTTGTCCGTTCGGCAAAACATGTCCGTTCGGCAAAACATGTCCGTTCGGCATTGAAACGTCCGTTCGGCAAAACGTTCGTCGGCAAAATGTCCGCTGGGCAAAATGTCTTTCGGCAAAATGTCCGGCCACCATTTATTATATTGCAACGATTGATTCTCGAGTTCACGAGAAAATATTCATATTTTATTCAAGCAGTAGTTAATACAGTGTCAGTGGGTCACTATATCTACAATCATAATATAACATAGCAGTTGGTGTTGCTACTGTACGATATATACCCCAATTGGCCCAAATACATTATTATAAATAAATTAATATGATAGGACTAATATGAGTTATATACATAGCGAATATATCTATTAACCGTGATTTAGTGAAAAAGTATATTCAACGCTCAGAATGCATTAAATGGCATTTCAGGGCATTAAATGGCATATATATTTCAGGGCTTAATTTCAAATATCAAATGCCCCAGACCCCTAATAATGCACTCCCTCAAGAAAACCCCCACCCCCTCTAACAAATGAGGCTAGATCCACCCTTGGTATAATAGCTGTTAAATGTAAAAACCTTTAGAAAAGATGTATGTTTATATCCAAAAATTGTAAATACCTGTTATATGATAAACCGAATTAAACCCAATACCAAAACGACCAATTTTCAAAGGATCTTCTTTCTTGTTACTTTTCATGAGATTGCGAATACCTTCCCAGTCTTGCTCTTTGAATATGGCATTGTTGTGACAGTAAAGAGCTGGGCCTTGAAAGCGAGCAAGTTTGGGATTTTCCAAAGATTTGACTCCATAATTTCGTTCATCAAAAAGAAAACTGACTTCGGTTGCGCCTGCGTCATCTGCATTCTGGATCAATTCCTATTAAAATATGGCAATCAATTAAGGGACGGACCATTAGAAAAGTGATGGGGGTGGGGGTGGTCCATTTTCAACGTGCACGATTATTTTTTCAAAATTTTTTGCTGTGTCGAAATTCAAAATTTTTTGCTGTGTCAGGAGGTGAAAAATTTTTTCCGGCCTTAAAAATTTTTTCAGGACAAAGAAAAAAAAGGGGTCAAAAAATTTTTTCCGGACTAACATCAGTTTAGTTAAGGTTTAAAACACATTTTCCCTGAAAAAATCTTCTTAAAACATGATTAAAACGCTTTTTTCCACCAATATCCGCTACATTTAGGTTTAGAAAATTTTTTCTCACACCATTACTTATATCAAAAAAAGTTTCAAATTATTTTTCTTTCATTTTTCCAAATTTGGGGGCCACCCTTACACTATACCTCTGATAGGCCCGCCCTGTCAACTTATAATTTTCCCAATTGAAAAGTCTCTGCACAATTTTTTTTTCAAACATTTCTGGTGCACGAATTTTTTTTTTCTGTTTCCCCTGCTCCATTTTTATTTTTGCTCCCCCCCCATCACTTTTCTAATGGTCCGCCCCTAAGCAAGAGTAACCCAAGTACCCAACGTCCCAACCCCATAAATAAATCAGTATAAATACATGCTTTTCTGTTTTCATGCATGCATGCTTGTGAAATAATTGTAGTACTATAATTTGTGTGGAACCCAGGGTATTTGTGCGCAGCATCATGCTTTTAAAACTACATCCTTTTTTAAGTATTCAACATGGAGTTACATTATAATTACTGTAATTGTCAACAACTGCAAATGTTCCAACTGTCCCGATCTGAATGGGACACTGTCCTGGTTTAACCCGTAAGAAAACAGTTAAACCACTCATTCCTGATTTTTTTCTGTGCTGGTGTTGTGCAGGCATGTACTCAGGTGAATGTACTCACATGTATTATTGTATATATAGTTACAGTACAAATTTATAGCTGTGCCAGAGACCTTATTAGGCTACTACTAGAAACATTTTCAGGTTTTATATTTTATGGGCAATCTGGTCACAGAGAAATTTGGCGGCACAGGGCAAATTTTTAATTTGGGGCCCCATGTTTTCCCAAAAATTAAGGGAGGGGGGAATGCACCCTACTTTATTACTTTACTCTGTCTATCTCCAGACGATTTTACTTGTCAAGGGAAGAGTGCTAGTGGTGCTTAAAATGGGCTAAGTACCAACACAATTGGACATTTTGTTATTGGGAAATAGATTGGGGGGTGGGAGTTAGGAGCCCCCCAACTTTTCAGAAGTACCGGTAGGAATAAGGGGAACAACCCCCCCCCCCCCAAAAAAAAATAACCCCCCAAAAAAAAACAACAACAAACCAAAAACAATCAGAGTAAAATTTTGAAAATTCTACTTAAAAATTGGGCACGAAAATTAGGAAAGTATTAAAAAGAAATGGTAGTTTTTAAGGTGTATTATAAATATGAAGAGGCTAATCTACCGCTGCAGATCGAGCACTACACCAGAATGCAGAGCGCTGCACCAGAATTGCAGGACCGCTAAGGGTGGGTTGTCAACAAAATTTTTGTAGTTCGCTATAGCTACAGCTACATCAAAAATATGTAGTCATGCAGCTACAAATTACTGCTACTTTTAAATAAAAGTAGTTCGCTACTGACTACAGCTACTGCTTAGAAAATGTAGCGAACTATTTTGCTATTTCGCTAAGCAATATTTTTTAGTTTTACTGTATTTGGAGCATCTGCTAGTAGCTCAGGCTGTAATGTAACCGTATAACAAATCGTCAAATCGACTTACAAGTAAATAAGATGGCATGCACTTGCACAGAACTTTGCACGGCATATTTTATTTGTGCAAAGTATTGATTTTAAGCAATAAAAACTGTGTCTTAAAAACATTCTATAAAATCTATCAAGTTGCTAACAATTTTAAAAAGTAGTGAATAGCAATTCCCTGTTTGAAAAGTATAGTCAACTACTTGGCTACTTTTAGGCAAAATGTAGTTCGCTATAACTACAGCTACTGTTTTAAAAAAGTAGTCAAAAACTACAGGCTACTTGAAAATTGTAGTTTGCTACAGTAACGAACTACAACTACTTCGCTACTATACCCACCCTTGAGGACCGCAAGTTCATGAATTTCTACCTGAGGACCTTAATCAAATGTTGCATTTTGTGCAACCGTTCCTGGTTAATGTCTGAATATACAGTAATGCTCACCAAAACACCAGCATTCTATTTTCTCAAATGTGGATATTTAATGGCATACAAAATGGACCTGAACTACAGTATAGTTCAGATTAATTTGTATAATTACATACCTTCAGAATTTGCCCTCCATCAGGATACTTTTGCAAAATAGTTTGAATATATTCCAATAAAGTTGGTAGTTGATGACCACCATGGCGCTGCCCTGTTAATTAAGGTACAAAAGATATATCATTTTATGACAAACAAGTTTTTCAAATTGTATTATTTAAATAATAAAAATAAATTTAAATTGTAGTTTATAATTGGGTCATGGGCATAAATAAGCTAGAAGGGTGTGGAGGGGTGTTAACACTCCCCATTCATCACAGACTTGGCAAATTATTTTCGTAGTCAGCAAAAATACTTGCGTGGCTTGGAATAAAAAATAATAGTTATAGGAAAAATGTGACCAAATTGACGAAAACTATGGGAAAAGTTAACAAATTACAATATATTAATGGAACATGTCCAGAAAAATTTCTGACCCCCCCCCCCTCACTCGCCAACAATTTTGGGGGAAATATTAATTACCGACTGAAAAGTTGTCGGGAAATGTGATACTACACCCCCTTCTTTCACCTCTTTGCTATGGCCTTGCATTGGGTCATTCCAGAAAAAAAAGGTCATTGGTGAGAACTCGCACCGGGATGTCCTGAATTATAAGTTGCACCAATTAGGGGGGGGGGGATGAATAGGGATATACAAATCCGCCGATCCGACCAAATTTGAAGCAAAATCCTATGAAGTCACAATCCAGGATTCCGAACTAAATTGCAATCCGAACAATTTTTTCTGTGAAATCCGATGATCCGAAAACCCAGCAATTAGTAAAATGCACTCCAAATATCTTACTGGAATCAGTGCATATGTTCCACCACAGATACATGGCGCGCCCTTCCATTAAATAAACTCATGCATGGTGTAAACAATACAGTATGTTGGCACACAACTCTTCAGATAAAACACTAATTCCTCTATGAAAAAATCCAATTGAAATTCGAATTAGAATGCAGTATGCCAGTATATATATTTCCAAAGATTAGGGCAATGAAAATTGATATCATGTTTCTCGTCCACAATTTTCAAAAATTTGGAGCGGGATTTTTTCATTTTTCATTTTTCATTATTTTTTGTATTTGAATTCTGTTTGACAATAATTTCCTTGACCCAGTAAAAACCCCATAAAAATCTGAAGTAAATCGTTGTATAATTCATTTTAATTTAATACGTCCTACACTACAGTATATTTCTACACATACCAGGGCTGACATGAAAAATAGAGGCATTCTGGCGAGTAATATCTTTAGAAAGATACAATTTGAGTTGCGCTTGAGAATTGCAGCAATAAGACTTTGATCTGGAGATCAATTTGGTGTTTTGTTTTCAAAAATAATGAATGAAAAATTTTCGTGCGGCAGATAAATCCCATGCAGTGTGACCAGGTTTTTTCAGGGGTAATTACCACATCCGGCTGCATAAAATTACTACATTGGGTCAAAAATTGGAAATCGCTAGATAGTATACTTCAAAATAAGGTAACCGCGAGAAGACTGGGTACGAGTTTGCCAAAATCTTCGGAAATCAGTTACGAGCGTTCTACGAACTTGCCACTCCTTTTGAAGGATGTTTTCTTACTCGCACGGCTTTTTTAAATTTTGCGGGAAATTCAATTGGCGCGAAACGTTCCGAGGTATACAAATTGATAACAGGTCTTGTTACTTTAATTGAAATTATACAGTTATACGTTAATTTTTCTTTGTCATCCGAAGCATGTCGGCGAATATAAATTCGAGCTATGTTGGCGACCAAAAGGTGGCCGTAGTACAAAGCGAGTCCGATGTAAAAGCTCTGATTAAAGAATACGAGACGGAGACGAGCAGCAAATTCGTTGTTTACTACGGTGACAAGAGCTTTGGATCAAATGGCAAGTATTACTGTTAACGTATAGTATATATTAAGAAGTATGTCATTAGCGCATAAAGCAATAGGTTTTGCACATCACCTGCAACGAAGACATGTACACAACACCTCTGAGAGGCGACTGAGGTGCAGTATCCGTGCAACTTCTAAAAATCTTAAAATTATCAGGGCGTAAAAATTAGATCAGGGGGCTTATATAAATACCAAGGGGGGGGGGGCAATTTGGAAGGGGCCCAATTTCCCAAGAGGGGGGCCCGAAATGCTGGAATTGCGGAACGTGTTAAACATTTAGGAATATTGTGAAAAATTAAGGTCGAAAAATTCTGAAAAACGTATTCCCCCCCTTATCCAAAACAGGTTTGCGAAAAATTTTTTTGGACCTTTTATTTTCAGGAAAACGTATATTTCCCCCTCCTCACCTTTTTCCGGAAATTTTTTTGCGTACCGGGGGGGTCAAAAGGAAGAGGGCCCAAACTTTTAAGTTCACCCCCCCCCCCCTCTGACACAGACTCTGGACACAGCAAAAATAACAAATTTATTAATACTTTTATGACTACAAATTTCTTTTCTACTAACAAAAATGTATGCAGAATATACTGATAATAAATAATATTACGCTTTTACAGAATTCGACTTTTTTATTGTTTAATTGATTTTTAGAAGTTAGAAAAGACAAACTTAAGGTTTTCTGGGAGAGAAAGGATGGTAACCAAGGGCCAAGTATTGCATACGCCGGAATACCATTCGTGCATGTTGGAGAGAAAGTCTTGTGGTGTCACCAAGGGAAAGACAAAAATGAAAAAGCAAAACAAAAAAATAAGGAGAAGATTCGCAGCAGTCAGGTAACAAGACATTTAGCAAATACTAATAGGCATACACAGCTTTCTACAAATAAGCGGATTTTACTTTTCATTTTACAGGGTGCCGACCATTGTTATCATACCCAGAGAAGATCTTTTGGTCAGACATCTAAAAAGAAAGAATGCCCAGCTACAATTTTCATCACACAAATTGCAAAATTTCCGCAAATGAAGGTCTTTAAATGTTGTAAACAAACGATAAAATAAGTCTTTTTCTAACATACATAAAAACCCGCAAACATGACGTATACACTATTCTTTAGATTGAAAAAGACAGTATATTCTTCAGAAGAAGAATTGCAAAACAATTGCACGAAAAATTGAAGGAAAACACTATTGCAAGTGACGGTGTTGAAATGCGGTATATCGTAAAGTTACCTCATCCTTCTGAACACCAATATCACTTAACTGGGAAGGTAACAATTTGTTTAAAAGTTAAAGGGAATTGCATGTATGAAAATAAATATTGACGCAGAATTATAAATTACTAATGACAACATTTGGTAATGATAATATTTTAATATAGTACATTATCGCAACCGGTGAACCGCAAGTTTATCCTATCCAACGTTTCAAGAAAACACTTCAATACCACAGAATAAACATTTACAGAAGTCCGACTTCGTGTCGGTGGTGCCTTTGATGTTAGTGTAACCGCCACCACGCCATGTTATTTGCAAACGCAA